TGTGTCATTGGTACTAGGCAATATAACCTTTTTAAAGCATCTGCATTGAGAAAAATTTTATACTATAAAATTATCTTATGAATTTGATCATGTACTCACAAACACCTATGATTGCAGCTCAAAGGCAAGTGGGAGAAACTGCTCTAAATGACAAGAGCTCAAGGTCACATCAAATAATTAGGCTGGTAAGCTTATTTCTGTGTTCCTCTTTTGGGCTTTCATTGAAGATGTTTTTCATTCTTGTTCCTCCTTACTAAGCTTTACTGCCAATGGATAGATCACAAAAATGGATGTTGTCTGTTCAAAGCCAATGTTAATAATTTAGCTTCTCATAAATCCTGTAAATTCAGTACAAAGCTGCCAATGATTAGTTGCTCTTAATACAAGCTGCTTCTTTCCTTTTCTTCATAATTGTCTTTGTGAATTATGGTAAAAGCATTAAATTATTTATACCTCAAGTCCCTTTACCTCCATGGATAGTGTTGATCATTAACCTACTTTATTTTGAATCCTAAGTGGACATTTCATGACTTTTTCATTAATTTATTCTTCCCAGGCCATTCAGAGCAGTATTAGAGAAAACTCTGGGCAAGTAAAGTCCCTTTTAGCAACTCTGGTATGTCTTTGTCATACAGTGCTAAATTTTCTTAACTTGAGCATGAATTTGGATCTTTCATATATTAATGTTGGCAATGTGCAGAATCTTGTGGATCTTGCCGGTAGTGAGCGTGCTTCACAAACAATTGCAGATGGTACAAGGTTGAAGGAAGGGAGCCACATAAATAGAAGTTTGCTGACTTTGACCACTGTAATTAGGAAGTTAAGGTAAGAGAATGTTTGCAAATGATTGATGGATTTGTGCAGTGCTTAATTTCAATTTAGCTGGGTAATCTACATGGATTATGTGTCTTCCTTTAAGTCTTTTGCATATGAGAATCGTTTTCTATTATTTTCTGATAACCAGTTTCCTTCATGAAGAATTGTAGACTGATTTGATGAATGTGTGCACTATTTTATCAATGGTAGACTACTACTAGTCTCAGCTTTATAAGACTTATTAATACCAATTTAGTTGGGATCAGCTACATGGATTATAGTTCTCTCTTCAGTCATTTTGCATCACAGATTACCTAAATGGTTATGTCTATTATAAGACTTCAACCAATCCCAATTCAGCCTTTTAGTTATGTCACTTGGTCATTCTCTGTAAATTAGTTTGTGGCATCTCTTGATATTTTGTTGTATCAAGTGATTTTGGATTATCTGTCTTGAAATAAGGGGCTGGAGTAATTTACTTGCTGGATTTCTTTTGTAGTGGTGGAAGGAGGAGTGGTCACATTCCCTACAGAGATTCAAAACTGACAAGGATATTGCAGCCTTCTCTCGGAGGAAATGCTCGAACCGCAATCATCTGCACTATGAGCCCTGCTTTAAGTCATGTGGAGCAATCTCGCAACACGCTTTCATTTGCAACCAGTGCAAAAGAAGTCACTAATAGTGCCCAAGTAAACATGGTATGCTTGTAGAACCTTATGTCTTCTAGATTTGATTCTCCTTTATGTCTGGTACTTGCACTAAATTAACTTTCAGAAGGAAATTTTTATGTTTCCTACCTATATCCCTATTTGGGCCAACTGTCAAAGGGTACTAAATAATGATGTGTATTTTTCATTTCCAATATTTAGGTAGTTTCAGAGAAGCAATTAGTGAAAAAGTTGCAAAAAGAAGTTGCTAGACTTGAAGCAGAGCTCCGAACTCCCGATTCCTGTGCTTCTCCATGTCTAAAATCCTTACTGTTGGAAAAGGAAACGAAAATCCAGCAGGTAATGTGAGGACTCTTCAATGTAGTGAGCATCCTAGCTAAAGTTTTACACTTTTACCGGCATTACTAACTGACATGTAGCATCATTTGCTTTCTATCGAGAATGGATTAAATTGTGGCAACTACAAGACTGTTTTGTCTTTCAAGTATCTTAATCATATCTTTCTGCACATGTCACACTTCATCATCAAATGTCAATTTTCTTAACTTCCAAGCTAGCGCGTGCATCTGAGTCACATTAAATTCATTGCTATCTTATTGCAGTCATAACGTCAATTATAGTGTACTAATAATGTCAAGTTGAAGAAGAAGTGATGGTATTATTCTGATGGATGTATTTTGAGTTGCAGATGGAGGAAGAGATAAATGAACTGAAACGTCAAAGGGACAATGCTCAATCCCAACTTGAACTCGAAAGAAGTGCAAGAAAAGAGATCAAGGTAAGGAGAAGGGGATGTATCTCAGCAAACTTGCTTCCCTCTTCCCCCGAACAAAAAAAAAATTAAAAAAAAAAATGCTCCATGATAAACATAAACCAACTGAAGTTTAAGCTTTGGTGTTGCAGGGTTCAGATGATCATGGGCCTTCTCATCAAGTAGTTAGATGTCTTTCTTTTTCCACTGAAAACGAAAAAGATTTTAATGGACCTATCTCAAGAACACAGAGAAGTGACAAGTTATTTGGAAGAAATGCTGCAGTTAGGCAGTCAGACGGTTCTACAGATCTCTCAATGCTGGTGAATGAAATTAGAAAGCTTGAAATGAGGCTGAGGCAGATTGGTGAAGAAGCAACCCATGCACTTGAGTTACTTCATAAAGAGTTTGCATCTCACCGAATTGGGAGTCAAGGTGCCACAGAAACTATTGCGAAATTGCTATCTGACATAAAGGGCACACACACAGTAACTTCTGTTCCAGAGCAAATTCAAATAAAAGATAAAGCTAGCCTCAAAGAGGAGATTGCCCGGTTGAAATCCCAAGAAAGCAACTTTAAAGCTTTGGAGCTGAAGCTCGAGAGTGTCCAAAGATCAATAGACAAATTAGTTATGCATCTTCCAAGTGGTGATGAAACTCCTGAGTCAAGGACCCCATCAAGAAAGAAAAAGGTCCTGAGCAATACTGGCAACATGCCAAATCTAATATGGTCTCCATGTTCACCTATATCTTCTACGCGTGATGTAGTGGATAGTGAAGTTGAGAACAAGGCCCCAGAGGGCGGCGATGAATTTCATGACCAGAGAATTAAGGAATCTAGCTACATCTCGTCAGCGAAGGGTACCCCTGATTCAAAACAATCAAACTCTGTTAGTGTTAAGAAAATGCAAAGGATGTTTAAGAAAGCAACCGAGGACAACATTAGGAACATTAAAGCCTATGTTACTGAGCTGAAGGAGCGGGTGGCTAAGCTCCAATACCAAAAACAGCTACTAGTTTGCCAGGTGACAAATTGTTTCTTCATGCTGATCTATCTTTTTTATGATATGCCTCAGATTAGATTATCTAGTTTATGCTGTAAATAATCTCCATATGCTTTTTTCATATGATCAGGTGTTAGAGTTGGAAGAAAACGATGCTGCAATTGAGCAAACTGAGTATGTCGATCAATCTCCTGCATCATGGCACTTGATATTTGAGGATCAAAGAAAGCAAATCATAATGCTGTGGCACTTATGTCACGTGCCATTGGTGCACAGAACTCAGTTTTATCTGTTGTTCAAAGGAGATCCTTCAGATCAGATATATATGGAAGTTGAGCTCAGAAGGCTGACATGGTTGGAGCAGCATCTGGCAGAGCTAGGAAATGCTAGTCCAGCACTTTTAGGCGATGATCCTGCAAGCTATGTGTCATCAAGGTATATAAATCGAGATTTCCAATTGATTATAGCATTGTCTAGTTAAGACTGTAACATTTTTAACATACAAATTTATGAACACAGCATTAAAGCCCTGAAGCAGGAGAGGGAATACCTAGCAAGGAGGGTGAATACAAAGCTAAGTGCAGATGAGAGGGAAATGCTTTACATAAAGTGGGATATTCCAGTTGATGGGAAACAAAAGAGGAGGCTGTTGTTTGTGAATAAACTCTGGTCTGATCCTCTTAACATGGAGAATGTGCAGCAAAGTGCACAAATCGTCGCGAAGCTTGTGGGATTCTGGGAAACAGAAGAGCCTGTTTCCAGGGAGATGTTTGAGCTCAACTTTGTTTCTCCTTGTGACAAGAAAACATGGTTGGGTTGGAGCCTGATATCTAATCTCTTACACTTGTAAAGAAGAACAACTACCATCATGACTCAACTAGTATTGTGTGTAATATCTCTTACCATGTTTAGAATGAATATGGTAGCCCTGGTTTAGAGCAGTTGCTAATATGAAATTAATAAAATAATGCTGATTTTCAAGAATGAAAGTCAAATTGGTTAGGTTGGTTTTGTAACCACGAGATTCCACGTTTGACTCTCAGTGGGAGCGATTCATTGGTCTTTTTTCTTTGAGTCAATCAGCTATTAGATTGGTTTACCTCATGGTCATTTACCGCTAAGATCACAAGACATAGTTTACTTCCGTGCACACAATCAAATAGTGGTTAAAATGGATATCTAATTTAATTCCCACTCACTATGAGAAAATTTAAATAATGTAATTTAATAATAATAATAATACAAACTTTGTATTACAAAGGCATATCACACTTAAAATCTTAATACGAATACACAACCATTAAAATAATAATAAAGTAATAACCCAAAATTTGTTAATTTTTTTTATAGAGAATTAATACTCTTGTTACAAGTTATGCCCTATATTATCTAATTAGAATAGAATAAGAAATAATAACTAGAAAATAGCAATTTTAACTCTGTAATTATTTGCATATATTGCGGTTTCCTCCTTTAATTATTACTAGTAGTTGCACCCGTGCGATGCACGGCTATATATATTGTATATTATATTCCGTATAATATAATTAGATGAAAAATGATACATTTTGAAAACTTAATAAATTTGAAATGTTGAATTTATAAATTTTATTAGATATTGTTGAATACTCTCTTTGTTGAACCCACAACGATGCACAGGTACCTATATAGTACATAGAAAATTTCGTATAATATAATAAGAAGAAGAAATATACAATTTCAAACCGAACTAAATTTTAAATAATAAATTGTGGAATGTTATTAGACATTGTTGAAGACTTCGGTGTATACAACATTTTTAGTCGTACTAAGACATGATACATTTTTCCCACAAATCAAAATTTTCAAACCCCTTGGGCTACTAACTCTTGAAACAGCTACGTACAATTGTCCATGGTTAAAGACAGGTTTTTTCAACAGCAATCCCACTTTATAAAGTGTTTGTCCTTGACTTTTGTTGATTGTTATGGCATATGATAGCATCAACGGGAATTGCTTCCGTTGAAATTTGAAAGATAATCTTGGATCAGACGGTGTAAGTGACATTCTAGGAATTAATACTCTTGTTCCTACATTTGTACCGCACATGATCTTGCCTTCCAACACGTGATCAGCTAACCTAGTAACAATCAACCTTGTACCGTTGCATAATCCTAGTGTGTGATCAATATTTCTCAAGAGCATAACAGGTGACCCAACTTTCAATGTCAAAACATGATTTGGTACTCCAGAACATCTCAGGCCATTCAAGAATTCGGGAGTGTGCAAATCTGCTAACATGTCAATATTTGAATCTGACTTACAAACAGAATAACAACTAAAGTAAGTCTTACCCTCAGCCGGATTATGATCATTCATGTACTGGTTAATGCTATCTACCACATACAATGTTGGAGCCAAAATTGCACTATCATTAAGATATGACAGATCGTCAATCCCTAGTCTAAAATTAGGGAAGGTGCTATCAACAATTGTAGCAATAGGGTCATCATCGCACTTCAGCAATAAATGTTCTGAAACTGTAATATCTGACTCACCATCACATTGACTACCAACAGTTCCGTCACCTATATTAGCTATCCATTTTGCAAACTCCTCGATCTCTTTACCCTCGATTTGTGATTGTACACTTCTGAGGAGTAGATTCTTAGTTAGCCTAAATACTTTGTAGAATTTCCAGAGATATGAGGAGCTAATGCTTGCCCGGACAATATCCTGTCTGGTACCCTTCGGAATTACTGGTAAAATCCGCCTGAAATCGCCACCGAAAACAACTGTTTTACCACCAAATGTCATATTATAACTCCTTGGATTTTTGAAGCGCAGCAAATCCCTCATAATTCGGTCTAGGGCTTCAAAACAAAACTTGTGCATCATTGGAGCTTCATCTCATATTATCAACTTGCTTTGCACAATAAGTTCTGCTAGTTGACTGCCGTGACTTATGTTACAAGTGGAATCTTCATTAACAGATATCTGTATGGCAAACCGAGAATGTGCAGTTCTGCCACTTCAGTGAGAGAAGGGGTGGGGAGCTTCTGCAAAGGTTGGGATATTACTCTGTCCAAGAAAAAGAATTAATGATGGAGGAGAGAGAACCAATAGAGCAATGACATGCTTATTATATATATATATATATATATATATATATATATATATATATATATATTTTATATAAAATCAGTTTTGATTTTTAAACTCAGAACCTTCCAAATGGAAGTCCAACCTGGGAACCATTGGACCACATAGTCCTGGTAAGGATTAAAATAATTATTTTGTAAGAAAGGAAAATTAAAATAATTATTTTGTAGCAAAAAGGAAAATTAAAATAGAGAGAGGTATATTTATGAACGCTTCCTCCGCCACTTCCAGCCTCTAAGCCCTAGAAACCTCTGCAGCTGTAAACTTGAGCTCGAAAAATCTCACCGGCGGGCGTTGCGTGTTTGAATAAGCTTCAGAAAATGGGGAGAGAGGTGGCTGGACAAAATCAGCCGTCGGCGCTGTCGTACACGGTGGAGCAACTCATCGTCGTCAATCCTTACAATCCAGACATCCTCCCTGATCTCGAGAACTACGTCAATGAACAGGTCCGAATTACAATTAACGTTCAGACCCGATTTTGTAACGCTTCTGATTAACCTACAGATTGATTAAGCTATTTTTTTCTCGTGCTAATGAAGTTTTCGGTTTTCGGTTTAAATTAGGTTTCTTCGCAGACTTACAATTTGGATGCAAATCTTTGCCTTTTGCGTCTTTATCAGGTCAGTTTTAGGTTCTTCATATCCTCTTGTGGACTTGTAGGGATCTAATTTGATGCTGGAATCTATATAAATATTTTAAAAGCTGATTTTTTTTTGGGGTACTGGTCTGGTGATTGTAGTTTGAGCCTGAGAGGATGAGTACACAAATTGTTGCTCGCATTTTGGTCAAGGTATATCAAGTTCTTGTTTTATATTTATAAATGAAAAGCACTGAGTGATATTTCTTTTTAGACAATTGACACTAATCCTAATTTTGTTTACTTCTCTTTGTTAAATTTCTTGTTCTTTTGATTTGAGGCAGGCTCTGATGGCCATGCCAGCGCCAGATTTCAGCCTTTGTCTTTTCTTAATCCCAGAACGAGTGGTATGTATAAGGAGTATATATGAATTCTCATTGTGATATTAATCATATTACTATTTCATATCTAACAGTTTTAAGCCTGGATGTTTTTACAAGTATGCAGTCTCTGATGTTTTTGTTTGTTAAAATTATATAAAATGGATATGAATATAGAATAAAAACCTTTAAGTTGTATAGTTGGTTCAAAACAAACTTTGTATTTTTAATGCTTTTGGTGAAAGATACAATTTCTTTGATCAACTATTATATTTCATACACAGCAGTCCTTTAGTTTTTAAAGGACAACTCAAATTGCCCAGTTTGGCTCATCTGTCAGTCGCCTTTTCTAGTTCTCAGGCCTTAGTGCCAAGTGTTCTTAATTGTTCCACCTTCCCTGTCTTGTTAATACCATTGGGGCATTGGGCAATAAGTATATGTAGTTTAAATGGTTGAATAATGTTTTGTTTTAATGACCAGCAAATGGAAGAACAGTTCAAGACTCTAATTGTTCTCTCACACTACTTGGAGGTATGTTAAAGCTACATAGCATTATTTGCTAATAGCTATCCGTCATGGGAATAATAACTAAGTTCATAGCAACCAATATTTCTATGCAGACAGCAAGATTCCGCCAATTTTGGGATGAGGCAGCTAAGAGTCGTCATATAGTAGAAGTTGTGCCAGGTAGGCCTCTAATAAATTTTCTTGGTCCTTGGGGGCTTGCTTATCAACTTATATATGGTATTACAATATGTTGCACCTCAAACAATGAACAAGTGAAGTTACAACTATTTGGATATTTTTGCAGGTTTTGAACATGCAATTCAAATGTATGCGATTCATGTTCTTTCACTGACCTACCAAAAGGTCCCTCGGTCTGTTCTTGCCGAGGTATGCTTTTTTCTTCTTTTTTTTTAATTTTATTTTTCTGGCACACAATCGAGTGCTTATTGTGAAGATCGAACTAGCATATATGGCATCATTCTCATTTAGTAAAAAATAGTGCCAAGAACATGTAAACTTGCTTGGAACTTGGATGCTACAATGCTATACAATCGTATGGTTTTTATAATATTCTTGAAGATTCTATGAGTCTCTACATCTCTATAATTTTGGAATGTTCTACAAATTTGGGAAAACTATGTAAAAGTGTGAAAAATGGTCGGGACAATGTAGCTAACCTCCGAAATGTGTAGCAAAGTAGCTTATGCGCAACAATTTGCTTTTTTTATATTGTCTGTTTTACTTCAGTCACAAGGTTCTGTATTACAGAGGAGTATTTATTTCTAAGTTTAAAGTTGGGTTTAGATTATTACTCAAGTTCTGTGTGTTTGCATGGAGTCTCTCTTCTCAAATCCACAGTCTTTTTGGCAGAAAAATATTAATTAAATGCTGCTGTATAATTGCCATATGACAGGCCATTAACATTGAAGGTCTTTCTCTGGACAAGTTCCTTGAACACCAAGTGTCAAATTATGGGTGGGTCATAGAGAAAGGTCATGGCAGGGGCCAACTCATCACCATCCCCCAAAATGAGTTCAACCATCCAGCACTGAGGAAAAACACAAGTGATGGTGTCCCGTTGGAACATGTTACCCGCATCTTCCCCATACTTGGCTAGATTGAATACCCACAAATTGGGTAATTCTCTCCTCACTATGTGAGGTTGAAGATGAGTCTGTTGAGCATCAATAGTAACTTTCTCATTTGAATTTGCTTTTTTTTTTTTTTTGTCAGAATGGTAGTTTACATTGCAGTTTGTATCACTACTTGACATGAAATGTTAAATTCCTTTTTGTTCTCTACGACTCATTTGCACTGTCAAAAAATTGTTTTGTTTTTTAAAAAAAAAAAATAATTCATTTTTAAGTATTAATTTCTTTAAAAGTCAATGACCTTGGTTTAGTGGCACGAAGTGACTCTCCCAAATAGGAAGTTATGGATTTGATCCCTAATGAGGGCAATATTGACTCTTTGTGCTTCTGTAGATTAAGAAAGTAGTTATGGATAGATATTACATAATACCAGTTAGTACTCAAAAAAAAAAAAAAATCTACTCTTTAAATTCACCAATACACATACACACACATATATATGAACTGTGTCCTTGAGAATCTCAGGAGCATTCCTGTCATATCCAGATTGATATTCCAGTTTACCAAGAAAATGTCTAAGTCTTTTATTTGCATACATTAAAAACATCACAGGAAACAAAGTTTAATACAGATATATTGTAACATATTTGCAGCATGAACCCTTGTTACCAATACAAACACGTACATGTTATTGAATTAATTGGCCTAAAGACTATACTTAGTGAAGCTCTCACAGGTCAAAACCATGTATATTTACAACAGTAAGTAAACACATTCCAGAAGAAAAGGACGGGAAAAGAAACGAGGAAGGCGCTTGCCCTCCTGAAAGAATTTTTGTAGAATCATCGGCTATGCAGTGTCAGTAGTTCCGTACTAAAGTATAATAAGCTTGCTGATCTCTCTGGAAAATCATACAACTAAGAAACCGCCACAACTGGATTATCCTCCCAGTTTTGGTACCTTCAGAGTATTGATTTGTTCAGCTCAAATGTGCATCCAAATGCAAGAAAATGACATCAATGACAAAGTGTCTCTCCATAGTTAACCCAACATACAAAACTATCTGAAAATTCCTCGAGAACTTCATAAATATGGGTGTCCTTGTAAGGTAGCTCTATTCCAGCATACCTCTTGACCTACAAAGACAGCAGGGGCTTGCTTAATAAAAAACATGCAAAGGAAAGGCAGACAGAGATATATTGAAGGAAGCATAAAACTTCCCCTTGAAAATGCAAATGGGGTGGAGACCCTGAGAATCTAGTTTTGTTTCCTTTGTCTTTAGTACCAAAAATAAATTGAAGGAACATCACGCTGTTACTTTAGATCTTGTTTCATGATGTAGAGAAATGCGCTCAGAAAAAAAAACTGTGTTTTGCAATAAAGTAACACACCAATATACATTCTCTCAGAGTAAACACACACAAAGTGAAACTGGGAATTTATAAGAAATTAACTATAATCAAACTAGGAATTTAAAGGACAAGATGTTCATGTTAGTGCTACTAGTGAAAGGTAGAAGAAAAGGTTACTGACCTTTGTACTAGATTCACCCTCACTGGTGGAAGGGGTAGATTCTCCAGCCATTTCATTGACAACATTATCTGATGACATACCAGCAATTGGAGAGATTGTGTACATCGATCTGCAACCAAGCAAAAATAATGAACTTCCAGTTTTAGCAATAAATTTATTGCATAGTATAAGCAAGTCCAAGTGGAATGAATAAAAAGATTATCTGTCCTGCAATGGACAGTTTTGAGTTCGTTGCAGATATTATCATGAATAACTCTATCCAGCAATTAATGCCATTCATTATTTACCCAATTCATCCATTTCCACAAACCACTATCACGCTTCATAACCACTTTTAAGGCCAACTTAAGAGTCAGGAACACATTACAATATAGTAATCTTTACCTTGACTAAGATCCATAGACATTGTTAAAAGGAAAGTTTTCGATTTGCTTTCCTGAGTTCTCTGATTCTGTTATTATTCTTCTATTTTTAACTTCCAAATCCGTAGCTGGAATTTCTCTAATTTATTCAATAACTTCCCATTTTTCAATTATTAGGTACTTTCTGTTTCCTCTTTCAGTAGTAGCATTCCTTGCCTATATAAACGGTTGCCCTGTTGAAAGAGTGAATAAAAATTTAATATTTTCCAACAACAAATTCTTATCTTTTTGGCATTAGAGCCAGGTTCTAATTAATATCAGACTACTTTACAGGGAGAAGGGTGAACAAGAAGAAATTTTTTGGAACATTGTATCCCTTTCTGTTGAAAGCGAGAACAAGGATTAATATATTCTAGGGGCAGGTTCTACCTTATTGAGATACATTATAAGGAATATGTATGCGGAAAACAAATGACAGAAACACCAATTGCTTCAGCTGAGCTGACTTCCTCACATATATAGACAGCCAAGTCCTAATTTGTGAAATTTGAGCCTAGAATATAACTGAGCTGTTGCAAACTAATTACCTTTCTAATAGCTCATCACAGGAATTTCCAGAAGAAGAAAGCCAGTCTAAGTCAACAAAGTTTGAGCAGTCAGATGCATCCCCATTTTCGTGTTCAATGCATCTATCTCTGGGCAGGTCTGCAAAAAGCTCCCTTGTAGGCATAGAGGGAGTATACCTGAACAGGAAATTAGAAGGTAAAAAGTAAACAAATATTCTCAGTGTGGACAAGAAAGAAATGAAAGTGGGGATTCCTTAACTGCTTATAATATAATACCTAGAACATGTCAAATCACTTCCACATAAATTGATGGGTATTTGTTTCACAAGAAAGAAATTACCTAGAATATGTCAAACCATTTTCACAGGTTGAAATTTCCAGTGTTGATTCAGAGGGCACTTTGCTTCCTTGTGATTGATAAGAAAAGTCAGCATTAGAAAAATCCTTTTCGAAGGTCCTGGTAGGTATGGGCGATTGGCTTTCATGAAGAATATTCCCATCTGAGAATGATCTTTTGAAGGGAGACCTGCTTGAGAAAAGCATACGCCCAGACACATCAGTGTACAAAATGCAAGCAAGAAAAATCACATCAAGATCAAGAAAGGAATTTAAAGTCTATTAATTGTGGAAGGTGAATTCTAAAATGAGAGATTGAGAGCCATGATCTGTTGTGATTGTTCAAGTTGTGTGTTGTCTATTCTGTATCAGTGTCTAAAGGGGAGGAAGGAAAGAACTCTAGAGTTTAAACTTCTACCAAATATACCAAAAGCTGATCATCCTAACATAACCCAGTAAACATGTCCAGCTATAAAAAGTTTACCCATCACTATACCTTCCATATTCATCAACATTTGACTCTCCATGCCTACCGACATTGTAATGCTGGTCAGAGTCCAACTCCCAAATGTCAGGTTTTCCTTCTTGAGGCTGAAAGTGCCCCAAGAATCTGCTCAGAAATTTCCATCACTGGTTAGTCAAATCCAAAGAAATTCACCTCGATCAATATTAAACAAATCTTAGAGCATTCAAGGTAGTTTAGAAGGGAGGATAAGGCATCTGGATAACATATAGAATGCTCTAAACATCTTCCCATTCTTCCAAGCCCCTTAAGCCCAGTGAAAAAAGAAAAAGAAAAAAAGAGTACCAAATAGCAGCAATAATGGACTTACATATTAATAGCATTCTGTTTCTCTGCATCCAAATATGCATTGTTGTAGTATCTCTGAAGAGTTCTGAAGAACTCCTGTGATTGAGTTGCAGCTTTCCACTGGCCCCTTCTCTCAGAGAAAATCTAGAGAATAACAAAATACAAGGCATCAATAGTAGGTTTGGAATGGAAACTGATAAAGAAACTATGTAAATTCACACTTCAGAGAAAATATAAATTGTAAATGCATCCACACTCAATCCAAGTACACTTAACAGAACTGACTGCCAACTAACAAAGTGATGTTTGACTTACCTTATTATGAGCAGCAGAGCCACCATATTGATGAGCTAGTGTATCACCCATTCTCTCATAGAATCCCATTAAATCCTCAGCCAAAGGATCATCAAGGTCAATCTTTGTGGAACTCGTAACCCCCAAAGCACAAAGCTGATGACCCAAAGCAGCCAAACCATATGCATATTGTGCCACATTAGTTCTGTCCAAGCAATCTATGCAATTTGTTCTGAGCACCCCATTCTGTAACATTGGAGGTTTAATGGAAGGATTACCATTAGCTTTCCCTTCAGAACTATCTGAGTCACTATTTTCATCATCACCATGTTTCTCATTATCTGGGTTACAGTGTCTCAATCGGTCCTTATAGCTTGAATCAGAACTCCTGTGCCACGCATAATTGCAAACTCTTCACAGTTTGATTGGTAAGGGAAAACAACAACAATAATAAATAATGAAGAGGAGATCTCAATGCATTTTATCAGCATCCGATATTTTCCTGGACGAGCAAACTTACTCAAGACAAGGCCATCTTGGACCTTCAGATCCTAAGGGTGGTGCGGCTTGACAGTAGAAGAAACCTGTCAAATTCAACGCATATGTAGCCACTTTCCCAAGGAAAAACAGGACATTTGTTGCTTTGCTGGAAAAGGGGAAAAAAGAGAAGTGAAATGAAAATTGGATGCTTAGCAACAAAAATGGGAAAGTGAAAAAAGGTAGAAAACAATACACACCGTCGAGAATGTTTGTGCAAATCCCAGTGCAGGAACCTAAGACGATGTTCTTCTGATAGATTCTTATTGATGGATTCAATTGCCTTAGCAAACTCAGTACGAAGAATGGATTCCCGGGGTCTTTTTTCATGGGTCTGTCAAGAACAGAGATCATGTTAGATGTTTGCGTCTTTTTTTGCTTTTTGTTTGTCTTTTAGTGTGAATTTATGTTAGAAAAATGAGCTGTGAAGTTTGCGTTTATGAGATAAAAGGATCCAAACTCCTCAGTCTTTCACAATTGTGCAATTCCTATAACCAAAATCTTTCATGCAAAACTTGCTCAGAATACATGATAAAAGCTCTTCCAATAGGTAGTAAAATTACAGCATACAGTGATAAAATCTCCCAAACCTTTATTAGATCCAAAATAATTATGGGGTTCCCATATCTCTTGGCGAGGTTCTCAAAATGCAGTCTGGTTGCTTCATAAGTTTGATCTTTCTTTGACACTGAATGAAATAAATATTAGTGTGAAAATATTGGATTAAAAAAGATTAGCCATGTAAGCATGAAGTTTCTGTCTCATACGTATTATATCAGGCTTAATATTTAGACGTGATGTTTCCTGTGACCAAAAGAGTGGAATTGACCCACGATTTTGGACAACAGAGCTAATCTGCATTGGGAAACCTTCTGCAACATCCTCAAATATAATTTGCTCCGTCTCAACATCATTGGCTACTCTGCCCTTTTCATTCACCCCTCGTTTAAGATATCTAATCAAAAGAAAGGAGTTAGTAAGCATCACCAATGAAGTAGAATAGTAAAAAGAAAACTACTGAGCAGATTCCTTATTTTGGTGAGGTAACATCATCAGAACTGTAGTCATAGTTTATGTTTGTCAAGCAAAGACCAATGACAGTCCCTGAAAGTCAAGTGAAGTTGATATATTGTTATCAAGAGCCTAGTTACATAAAATTTCAAAAACAAGGTTCCCCAAAACAGATGGAACATGGATACTTTTGACTTTCCTCAATGTATCATCCATGTACATGCCAGAATGCTGGAAAGCAACCCAGACCACTACAATATGTGATCATATGTGATATATAAGCATTTATATAGTTTTCACTTTTCAGACATATTAGTAATTCTCCAAACTGCTCCATAAACAAAAATGCAAAATTGTATCAAATAACATAATCTTTAACAAGAATCCATTAGATGCATTTAAATACTGACCTTGTGCCAGCATAATGGCGTGAACGTCGCGCAATGAGTGCCAATTTGAAGTACCGCCCAGATATTGAAAAGGTAGACTGGACTCACCAAGCATAAATAGATCAGCATCCATCACATTTATAAGTTTGTAAAGAAAATACAAGACATATGATGCAGCTAAGAGTTGCTTGTCACATTTATAAGTCATCTGACCAACTAGAGATGGAACTGAAGTGAAAACTATCAATTCACATTATTTGAACTTAAATTTTCAGTGCTATCTCAAACAGCAAAGCATATTCTTTTAATAACTAGGCAGGGTAGAGAATTTTAAAAAGAAAATTTCCCTAATAGAAAAATGCTAGCCACCCTACAGACCATTCACCAATTCTAGAAGACAATAGATGAAAAAGATTGATCTTCAGCAAGCCAACAAGACAGCTGACAAAATCACCTGCTTGAAAAATCCATAGACCAATGCAACTGTCCAGAAAGTATTATGGAGGATATTCCGTATTCCACAGGTTAAAAACTCATTCCAGACAAACATGGTGCCATATGGGACTTGCCCCGCTACATTATCACACATGTTTTTCTGTAGACTCCTCATTATGTGGTATGAATAGCTAAAGAAGAAGTCCTTTGTAAGATCCACCATACGCATAAGCTTCTTATATCTACAAATATCCAAAATCAGGAAATAACATGAATAACTACAGACCAAAAAAAAAAAAATCATAAATAAATAGATAAAAGAAAACATCTGCAATCAAATGATAAATAGCAATCACAACAAATAGATTATAACATGGTAACAACTCCAGAGTAGAGAAAATAACAACATTAGAAAGGGAGCATAACCTGTATTCACTCTTATAATTAGCCATCTTTGACTGAACATAAGAACTTGGAAGTGGGATTATCTCGCTCTTAGAGATTGCATATATGGTATGACCACAAATGTCACCAATCTGCCTCCTCTTTGTAATAAGCAACATGTAGTAAGGCCCCAAAAATTTTATGAACCCTGAAAAGATGAGAACAAGGATCGACATCAGATAAAAGTGTCCTGCAGTGGAGGAATGAGGCCAACATACTATCCATACCAACAATGCCATAACATGTGGTGACAAACTTCAATCCTCCTGTAGATCTGTTTCCTTCATGTATTCTTCCCAACAAATCAGAGCACTCAATTGCAGTGTAAGTGGTAGAATCTTCACGAATGTTAAGTTCAGAAGGCTCCGTCCTATCAATTTTCAAAACTCTCCAGTACGTTCTACTCTTGTTCCTCCCTATCATGTAAAACTTCTGCAGAGAAATTATATTAAATGAAATGAATCCCATGCAGGAAAACATTTCAGAAAGTACCACCATTTTTCAAGCAGGAGCGGAGATTGCTAGAGTTATATTTTGCATGATATATACACACACATATGACCCAGTAAATTCATCTCATTGGCCAACCATATGATATGCACCTCATGTCTTAACAGGGAAATTACAAAGTTATTATAAGAAAATAAAAATAAAAAATAAAAACATCCACAACTCAAAATGCATTTACTGGCTTTCTAAGACATCTAGCTGTTTGTGAGCCCGTTATCAGCATTCAAACATTCAAATATGTGGGGTTATAGTTCTACTAAGACAAACAGTCTATCAATCACATATAACAGTTTAGAGAATCCTGTAAAATGTGAAAACTTTATACTAGTGAAACTCGCTAGAGTTTAAGAGCACCAAAAACATTGAAATAATCATAAAAAGAAAAGAAAGGAAACAGAGAATTGGGATGGTCACTTCTTAAGTCATTGAACTTAAGATGTCTGAAGTTTCATACTAAACACCGGACGAAAACAAAGTTATAGCAGAAAATGAATAATTTTTACCGAGCGGGTTTCGTATAGACGAAATTTCTCCATAAACCCCTCCTGAGGCGGATCTGAAGGAGACGACAGGCATTGCTGCTCTCCTTTCCCATTGAAAAAGTGCGTTTCCGGCGGAGAAGGGGGTGGCTCGTTCCCTGAAGCAGCCATTGGCGGTTAAGCAGATCCCCCGAACAAACTCAATGAATCCCGAGCCGAGCCAGCCACCGGGCCAGGGAATCAACTGCTCCAGCATTCAATTCCAAAATTCAAAATCTCCAATCTACCAACTGGTGCATATAAACAAACCCACACGCATCATCATCCCCGTCTGTTGCTTCAGATGCAGCATTTTCCGTTGTATCCTCAAATCAACACGTGCTTGAGTCACTCCCAACCCTAACTCCTGTATCTACGCGTATATAGAAACGAAAACGGAACTTGAGAAACACCTCCCGATCTCTGACGATCAAACAATATGCAACGCCAAATCTAAACCCTGAACAATTACACGGAATATATATAGATAACAAATACAGAAAATGAAGGACAAAAGAAAATATGAAGTGTGATTATCAGTAGGGATGAAGAGGTCGAAATCAAACAAAAATGTGGGAAGTTCTAGAGAAGAGAAAAACTGATAAATCACAGCGAAAGAGAGAAAGAAAGACAGATAGATGGAGCTATATTTTTTTCTTGAGGATGATTGTGATCATAATAATAATATATAATATAATATAATATAATACTATTAATTAATTAATAATAATAATAATAATAATAATAATAATAATAATAAGTAATACTCCTATAATATACTGCTTTATTCATTACTTCGTATACTCGTATTCAATTAAGTAATATTTTTAGTTTTATTACTGAGCCAGGTCGAGGGATTGATTAATCAAGACACTGATTTATGAGATCAACATATTTTCACTGATATTTTTCAACTAATTAATATACTTAAAATTTTAAAAATTTCGATTTCCCCAGTATGATAATACGTGGTATTGGTACTACGGGGATCCGAATGGTTGTTACTCTGTCAATAATGGTTATAGATGCATTATTAGAAATTATGAGAATGATAATAATGGGGCATTTAGCAACTGGACCACTCTATGGAAATTAAAAATCCCACCCAAGTGGAAAACCTTCATATGGAGAGCTATTAGTATATTCTTCCCACTACCAATAATTTGCTTATAAAGAAAGTGTATGTTGATCCGATGTGTGCCATGTGTAGAATCATGAATGAAGACACTATGCATTCATTGGTATTGTGTGGCTATGCAAGCTCCATATGGGCTCAATCCAGCCTACCACTCCCCAATATTATAACAAATATTTTTCATGAATGGTTTAGTGCAATCATAAATGTTCTAGACACTAATGGAATTATTTACGCAGCTGCAATTTTATATCATATTTGGAGAGCACGGAATGGAGCTGTGTGGGATGCCTGTCTACCATGACCAAAGACTGTAATTGTGGCGGCCACTGCCACCATGCGTGCTTAGCGGAGCGTTCACTGCCCAGCCACCGCCTAGCAGCCGCACGGCCAAGCCACTGCCGGACCACCACTCAAAGACCCAACTCCCGTTGCCGGATCACACAGAGCCTCACGTTGCTGCCGACCGGCTGCGTTGTCCAATGCCGCACCAACCCGATCCCCAAATCACTATAGCAAGGCCAAGAAAATGCTATGTGGACGCCGGCTATCACCAAGGAACAAACTCGGCTACAGTCGAGGCGGTCCTACTCGATGCCAGCGATCGTTTTGTATCGGCCTTCAGCGCGCCTATCCTGAGTTGCTTTTCCTCAGTTATGGCCGAAGCATTTGCATGTAAAGAGGCTCTCTCTTGGCTAAGGGCCCGAGGTGAACAATCTATACAGCTTTATATGGATTGTCAAACGTTGCAGTGCTACCTATCTACACTAGACAACCCATCTCGCTCATACATTGGCTATGCCATAGATAGTTGCATAACTTATATGTCTGTTTTTACTTCCTGCTCTGTCGTTTTTATTCCTAGATTACAGAATTTATTAGCTCATACTTTAGCTACGTCAGCCTTTACGCTTCCTTCCGCGACGTACTGAGACGATGTCCCACCTGACTCTATTTCAGTTTATCTATAAATACAACCCATTGGTTGACCTTTAAAAAAAAAGTAATATTTTTAGTTTTATTATTTGTTCCCAAATAAATGATACTCGCTAGTCGCTACTTATATAGAAAGCTTTTATATTTATATACACAATCAGTGTTGGAAAATCCCGTATAGGCCATCTAACGTATAACCATAATAGATTAATAGGTGGTCCTAGGCGATCGACTGGACCGCTTACAGGGCGTTTGGTTGGAAAGAAGGAATTAAAGAGAAAATGAATTGTAATACGGTGAGAAAAGAATAAAGTGGGAATAAAATAGGAATTACAATTACATTGTTTGGTAGGGAAGAATAATGGAAATGGGAGAAGTGATATAAAGACTAAAATACCCTTGTGTATGGATGAATTCAAAGACAAATATGTCATTTCCTTCATTTTCCCTTTTCATTGTATGGATGAATTCATTGAATTGCAATTCATAGGGGGAACCTTCCAAACAATGTAGTTTATCATTTCATTGAATTGTAATTCAATGCCAATGCAATTCATGTCAACCAAACACCCCATTAGGTGTTGATCGCCTAGGCCGCCTAGTTGACCTACTGTTTTTTTTATGCGTTATTTCACTCAAAACGACATCATTTTTAGCAAATAACACTGAATTGTTCAAATTCTAGATTTTTTTAGGTTAATATTTAATTATTAAAGTATTAAATAGTTTATAATTATTAGTCTTTAAAAATTTTAAACATATCTTCAAAAAAAATAAAATACACAGACACCGATTAATCGCCGCCTAGGCGTCCAAGGAGCGCCTAGCAATTTTAACCATGTACATAACAACATAAATTTTAAACATATATTATCGTGTTTCATTCCAGTATTTTTTAAAAAATATAATGGAAAAAGATAAGGTATTTTTATCATTATTTTTAACATAAGTTTTAACCATAAACTCCTTAAATTAAGAACTCTTCACCGCTCATGCTCAGAAAATAGGTGAATAAGTTAAATGATGTTTCTCAACTGATCTAAGAGCCTCCAAATATTTGTTGCACCATGCAACTGCTAAGTGAATATATATATATATATATATATATATATATATATATATATATATATATATATATATATATACACACATATACATACACACACGAGGAAAAGATAGAGAGGACCAAGTTCAAATGAAAACAACCTCTCAGATGAGAACTGTGGATAAATCTGATTCGCTCATCTAGCATGACCAAAAGTTGAAATATGATAAAAGGATGTGTGATGTTCTTTAATTATAATTGTGCATTTGAGAATGCGTTCCGTGCAAAAAGGCACTACATGATTCTCATCACCTTTCTCCTTTGTATCAGACTATCATCTCAAGAGTTTCTAAATGCACGGTCAAGTATTTTCAAATGCACAATCTTAATTATATAAATGACATTGCATTTTTCTTCTTTTTCATTAATTTTTAACATTTGACCATCCTAGATAGATGGATCAAATTTGTCCGCAATTCGCGTTGTTTTTATTTGATCCCAATTATTTATTATTTATCCAAAAAAGAAAAAAGACAAATCATTTTTTTCATGTGCACATTGTAACGTATGTGGTTGTAGATGGTGCTATAAATATGATGAATTGATGAGTGGTATGGCTAAAACGGGGATCATGTGGGACTTTAAAAATAATTATGATAACAAACATAGAGAAATAAAGGGTATATCTACTTTAATTATTTTTTATTTTTTATTTTTAAAATTAAAAATTATAAACAAATGAATTCTCTCCTTTTTTTTTTCTTTTTTTCTTTTTTTAGAATAAATGAATTCTCTCTCTCTCTCTCTCCTTTTAAATTTAAAAAATGAAAAATTTCTCCAACTAGTAAATAACTATTTTCAAAACATAGTTAGACTTGTGAAAGAAACGTAGTTTAATAATAATGTGATGATATAAATGCATTCTAATATCTTCTTTTTTTTTTTTTTTTGAAAATCATCGATGCATTCTAATATTTAAGATAGTGATAAAAACATTTACAAGCATGAAGGAGGGTGTGAAATCCAGAAACATCAACGTGGGAGAATATGATATGCAACTCTTTTGTTTCGAAAAGGCGTATGTACGTGTATAAAATAATCCCGTAAAATTTATGCTTAATATTAAAATATTGATAAATAAAATTAATTAAATATTTAGTTTAAATTATATTTTACCATTTCTTAAGGTAGTAAATTTTAATGAGTTAATTTCATTTAATTTTTGTCCTAAATTTATAGGTGGCAGACCATTTTTAATTTTTTTTATTAGAACATACGGAGTATTCATTTAGTTCTAGTATTATTGTAGTATGACTATTTTTATATACATGTGTGTGTGGAACATATTCTCACTTAAACCTCCTATATATGTGTGTGGGAAAAATGTAACGCATATGTTGCATAAGTTGTGGTGATCATTGAAGAAGTTCAATTCCTTTAAATAATATTTTATATTCGAAATTTGTAAATTGAGTAACATTTATTATGAAGTTTAATTCGCTTATCTAAATTAATAATAACTCAACCAAAAATGTATTATATACGGAGAATATGTTTTTAGTAAAATAAGTTTGAATTCTAAATTTGCATCTCAACAAGCCTAAAAGGTCCTCAAATGCTTTTACGTTAGTGTTTGCAATAGGTCAAATTCATATTTTGTTTTCTATTCATGTATCATGCGACTGTTAATAAAATAAAATTTATAAATTTATTTTGAATTAGTTAATCGGTTGAGCTATACCCAAGATTATACTTTGTAATACTGAATGAGATTATGACATACACTATTATTTAAAAAAAAAAAATGATTGTGTATTAGCTTAATGAGAAGAGTAGTTGGTAGTATAAATATGTAGTTTGCTTTAGGGATTGATGGAGTAAAAGAAACGTAGTTGGCATTAATTGAAGTAGCGTTGGATTAGGGGATGCCATGGGGACAATTGGACAAATGCTCAAAACTCACAACCAATCATTGCTTCATTACTTCGTGGAATCAATCTCAACCATAGATTAACATACAAAAATATCACCCCCCCCATCTCCCCACCCACACACATATTTATTTTTTAGTAGTCACAAAGTGTAGGAGATATGAATCTAACCTTAATTGAAGCACGATTTACCTTCTTTACTCGTCTTCAGAACATGAACGGTGATATTGAGCAGATCAATTGATCATAGCTAGTGATGAAGTTTAAGAATAATGATCCGATGATCCAGGATCTACTAGCGACAGCGTGGGGGCTCCTTACAGCCTCTGTGTTCAGTTGAGATGCTTTGTCTAGGCGTGGGGGTCTTTTTTTTTTTTTTTTTTTTTTTTTGAATACTATAGACTCTATTACAATGTAGTATCTATTATATACTTTTTTCTAACTACTGTAGTCCAAAGAGTCAATACTCAACCACCGGAGTTTGATTCTGTGATATTCCCTCAAGGGGAGTCACAGAGGTACTATCTGAATATAATGTATGGAGATACTTGAAATTGAAGATTCAACATTTTGAGAACAACACAAAGTAAAATAAAATAGGAGGATAATACAATAAATGCATATAACGGTAAAAGTTAATTGCAACTCTAGTATATTATATTATTAGGTGTGTACGATATTGATGCCTTGTTAATTTGGGAATTAGTTGGCTCACACACTGTCTAGTTATTCTATTGCTATAACCTGTACTCCCTCTAGGTGTATGTGTAGCTGTTTTTTTTTTGGGTTTAGGCAAGTTATTCAATGCACCATTGTCGTCCACATCTTTGTACAATTACATCATCAAACAATCGAGAGGTCCTAAAAAATGTTCAACATATCAATTCTTTTAGTAATAAAATAATCATTTTTATATATACCATTTTCTTTAGTAATTTCAATTATCACGACATGTATTTAGGGATAGCAATCGGACAAGGACTATATTTAATTTTTTTTTAATTTAAAAGTACTTTTAATTTTAAATATAATTTTTAAACATAAATTTTATATATTATTAACAAACAACACATTATAAAAATTTTAAATTTAAAATAATTTTAGTTAAGAATCGTTTACTAAACTAGACACGTAAATTTAGACGGAGGGAGTAACTAATATCATTATAGTTTACTACTTTGGTACATAAAATAAAAATAAATAAAATGTATTTACAAATCTGATCTACATCTACAAATTTAATAAGAGTCAATAAAGTTAACCCCTTGACGGGAACTAAAAATGTTAGTGTAATTATTTGTTGAAATCAATGGTTCATATTATTTTTTAGTATTTTTTTATGATTTTATTTCTTTACCATCAATTATATTATTTTGTTTCCTTAAATAACCCTGTTGTAACGGAATATTCCGTTAACTATTTATTATTCTGAACTTACTCATTAATTTCTATAAGAAATGTCTTAGGTTTGAACCCCATCCCAATCAGAAATGCCCATAATCCAACATAATTGTTAAACATATACTATATATTCAACACATATGAGAAAAATTTTATTCATTATCAAAAAATGAAGAAAGAGATATAATTTCATTAGTTATATTATTTTTATTTTCTACAATTTAAAGATCCATTACCTTCAAATTCATTAATCATTTATATTTACTCCATTGTCCATTGTCTTCTTTTTACACTATCTTGTCAATAAATATCAAAGTTATAATACAAAATATGTTATATATTTATTTACTAATTATTTTATTAATACCATAAAAACAGTTTGAAGTCAATAATATTAACTACTTGGAGAGGATTTGTTGACAAAGAAAGTATTCAAATAATCCAAGAAATTAAAGCATGAAACTACCCCGTAATCTAAAAATTCCTACACCATAATCTCATTGCATCACGCTGCCTTCTATGCTACCACAAGTAACCCAATTGCGCATGACACACTACCAATAAAAAAAAGAAGAGGACAATTACTGAAGATGAAGACAATGACAATGCTATCCAAAAGATAATTAAGAAGACTTGAGAAATTAAAATCAAAAGTAGTATTTATTTAAACCATCATTTTTAGACTAAGTATTTAGATTATCGTTATTACAAAGTTGCAAACATTTATTTTAGTGACAATTATAATCAATCATTCATATATCATCTTGCATTCATATACATTGAATTACTTATTTAAATTAACAAATTTAACATTCAATTACATAAACATAAACATCTCATATATATATAATCTTGCATTGATATACTTTGAAGTACTTATTTAAAAATAATCTTTGGGCATGACCTCATTTGCGCAATGCGCGTAAAAACTAGCAAATATATATTATAATTGCAATAACAAGTGTTAACATTAGGTATACCATGAAAACAGAATAAAATTATATATTCCTATTTCATATGGTACCTAATAATTGGTTTGGTATAAACCTAATCCGGATATTATCTACTCCACTATCTCCGACAGTAAGGGAGGACTACATTATCTAATTATCTAATAATCTAAAGTATTAAAGTTACTACTTAGCTTGCAAATGAATGTGTATTTAAAATAGAAATTAATGAAGTATTCAGTAGAATGGAATTGTAATTTCATGATAAATTATTATTTTATCATATCTTTATTATTATTATTATTATTATATAAGAATATTTTAGTTTTATTCACTTCTTCCTTTTCAATTCTCAATCATTCTATTCGTTCATATCAAACAATGTAATTTAAATTTCCACCTTTTATTTTTGTCACGGAATTATAATCCATTTCCCTCATAATTCTCTCCTCCAACCAACGTACTGTAAATATTTGAATAGATGAAACAAAATTTTATTTTTATTTTAATAAAACTAAATATTTAATATAAGTATATAATTTTAAAAATATAGGCCCTGTTTGGTAAAATAATTAGTCTATTGACCAATTTTGGCTTATTTGACCAATATTAAGTATTTAACTTGGTTAAAAACTCACTTTCAAAAAAAAAAAAAAAAAAAAAAAAAAAAACTTGGTTAAAAACTCAATATAAGTGTTGGTTGATTAGTTTTTTGTAACTCCAAAATGCTAAAATTCAAAAAGCTGCTCAAAACAACCTTTTCAATTAGCTTTTTGAGAAAATAAATTATACCAAATAGCTATCAACTAATAGTTAATTTACCAAACACTTTTCTACCATCAACTAATGTTATCAACTAGTTATACTCCTAATTAACTCAATCAGCTAACAACCATTTACCAAACAAGGCCATAATAAAATTCGACAACATCAAAATGTAATATACCTACTAAAAAGAGAAAAATGACTTTTATAGAACTGTCAAAATGTGTTTAGTCATGTTGTTAGTCCACTCCGCCACCGAATGATGTGGGCAAATTATTGTGTGGACCATAACATATTAAATGTACATTATTTATGTATTGAATGTACATTATACAAAATAATATACTTTCAGTACTCAAATAATGTACTTTTCGTGAATCCAATGTATATTAGTAATATATTAAAAGTACATTATTTTTGTACTAAATGTACATTACTTTATAACATACAAAATATGGTCCACACAGCTTATGAACTATGATCCACACAATAATAATTGAATAATACCGATGTCATATAATACTAGATACAAATGAAAATTATTTACTACATACCAATATACGGAGTAATAAAAAAAAAATAGTACTCCGTATTGACCGTATATATTATTGTAAATACTATGATCATACATGCAGGATAGAAAAACCCTAAAATATTATAATTAGACCTTTTCTTCTTCTTCAATCTTTCGTTTAAAAAGAAAAAAAAAAAAATTGTCCATATATGCTGTCTTCATCCTCTCCGATATGACACATGTTCACATGCAGTTGTAAGTCGTGTACATTTGCAGACAAGTGATAACGTTGACTAATCCCATATATATAAAGAATCCAGAATTATCCTTAGCTTAATTTATTACGTTCTCATGACTGATTCTAAACTCTAAAAGGATATAACGTTTATAAAATTTAACTTGATCCTTAGCTTAATGAAAAAGTAAGCTTCAACCTGCCTGGTGTGGGAAAGTAGCTAGGAAGCCATGGATGCAAATAATGATGTTCTTAACGATGGGTAATATAATTAATTAAGCATGTTTTAATTTCCAGTTTACATTAATCTGAAATTTCTCTTCATCAGATCGATCAGATCAGTTTCAAATATGAACAAGCTAAGTTGTGAATTGAATGCATGGTGGGTTATATGTTTCTGCAGTTCAGGGAGAAAGGTGGCGTGTTTCAGGCACACTTCAAGTAATGTTCATTCTGTAATTCTCCCTCCCCAGAAACTTGAATTTGGCTTTGATAATCAAGACTGGGTTCAGAGAGAAGTTGATGAGGTATGATATATATGTCTTTATGATAATGTTTTAATATAATTACTATGTTTTTTTTTTTTTTTGAAAATATAATTACTATGTTTAATTACCTGGTTTAATTTAATTTACTATGTTGTTTGAGAATATATATAGGTGTGTAGTATGGCAGATGATTTGTTCGGTGAGGTGTCCAAAGCTCTTATTGGGACTTTGGAGAAGATCACTGTCAACAATGGAGTAGAAGCACAAGATTCATGTCATCATCAGCAGATTGCTCAACTGGAGGGAATACTGAAAGAGGAGAGAATGAAATTTGAGGTCTTATTCTTCTATACTCTTCAATTCTTCATAAAAATAGATAAATATAGGTGTGCTAGTGATGAGAGAATTGAGCTGTGATAGTGCTCTAAATGGCCTATGAGTCGTTAATTGGGCAGCGAGGAAAGAAAAACACCAGTCATAGTGATATGTCCTCTTAGCGTAGTAACTGCCTTTGGAGCGCTTAATTAGGTATCCATATATATATAGAGAGAGGGGATTATATTCAATTATAAACCCCTTTTAAAATACAAACTGTGTACATGTAAGTATGTTAATGTGTGCACGAGCTTTGATGGATGGTTGTGATTTTTTCTTCCTACGCGCTGTGTGCATGTAAGTATGTTAATGTATGCACGAGCTTTGATAAATGGTTGTGATTTTTTCTTCCTACGCGCTGTGTGCATGTAAGTATGTTAACGTGTGCACGAGCGTTGATGGATGGTTGTAATTTTTCCTCCCACGCGCTGTGTGCATGTAAGTATCTTAGTGTGTGCACGAGCTAATTCCAGAAATTGTTGGCCGTGCGTGCGCCCTGTGTGCATGTAAATGTGTTAATGTGTGCACGAGCTCAAGTTTGTATTTTAAGGGGGTTTGTATTTGAATGCAGCCCTATATATATATATATAGTGTTCCTCTGTTCTGACCCATATATGATCCTTTTGGTTTAAGGAAATGCTAGGAAAAATGCTGAATGGAGAAGATAAAGATGGGCAGCAAGCTGCAATCCACATTCTTGAAATCAATCATCTAAGAAGGCAATTAGTCCTGCAAGCTTACTCCTGGGAGCAACGTTTGCTACAAATTGCCAGTTCTCATCACACTGCAGACTCCCAGGCTGCAAGCTCAAGTAGTAGTCATGGGGAGGGTTATAGAGTTTTCCATTCTGCTTCTAGCTCAACCATCAACGATGAAAGCGATCAAGAGCCCGGGAAAAACCTGCCCGACGCTCTAGATGCTGCCTGGACGGGCAAAACCCGCCTGCAGGCTGCAGCCTCTAAGAAGAGCTCTGCATTAATTCTGGACTCACTACTGTTACATCAAGATGAGCCAAGTAGTAGTAGTATTATATCATATGCTCTTCTCTCACCAGATTACCATGCTCAAATAATGTCTGATGAATCTGAGAAAGTAATCCTGGAATCTTCGGGTTCTGAATCATTTTTTTACACTAATAATGTTCAGCATGCCTGCATTTCCTTCTCAGAAGCTGCAGGCCCTGAGGGGAAAGTAGTGGAGTATAGAGTTACTTGCTATTATGCAAGGCAATTTGAGGCCTTAAAGAAAGCTTGCTGCATCTCTGAGTTAGATTTTATTCGTTCTCTCAGCCGATACACCAATACTTTGGACAATAATCGCCTTATCATTAAGGCGGTGGGTAAGAAGGAGTTAGACTCATTCATCATGTTTGCACCATCTTATTTCAAGTATTTGTCTCAATCAATAGCTAGCAGTAGCCCAACTTGTCTCGCAAAAATCTTTGGCATCTATCAGGTCTGTATTATTAATTTATGAATCATTTTAACTACATATATATATATGGTTTCTCTTCAATTCTTGAATTTTGCCTTGTCTAGATCACATCAAAGAATCTTAAAGATGGGAAAGAATCGAAAACCAAAGTTTTGGTGATGGAAAATCTCATGCTTGGGCATAACATCACCAGAATTTATGACCTCAAAGGATGTTCTGAGCCGCGGCATAATCATCAATATCCAAGTGAAAACAACAAATTTCTATTTGATAAAAACTTGGTTGAAGAAATGCCAATATATGTAGGAAGCAAAGCAAAGAGGCTCCTGGAGAGGGCTGTATGGAATGATACTGCATTTCTTTCTGTAAGTCTCATTCTAGCTAAATCCTTTCTAAGCTACTGTTACTAATTTCATCTTATATATGCAGTCAGTAAATGTAATGGAATATTCGTTAGTCGTTGGTTTGGATGACGAAAAACATGAACTGGTGGTTGGAGTGATCGATTATACGAGACAATACACATGGGACAAGCAACTCGAAACATGGGTGAAGACAGCGTTGGGCGTCGTCCTTGGTGGTACCAAGAATAATGCATCATCTCCTACTGTCATTTCTCCAACCCAGTACAAGAAGAGATTCAGGAAAGCAATGTCTGATTATTTCAGTATGGTGCCAGATGAGGAACTTCAATCTGAACATTAGTTTATGTTATACACTTGGTATGTAAAAATTAGCTTATTTGACACTACATGAACTTTGGCATGTATCAATGTGATGTGAACATTATACAGTTTGCCAATATCAACATTCAGACTATTTAGTACATATTGACCCTGTTTGGTAAAATGGTTGTTAGCTTGGTTGTGTTAATTAGAGGGTATAAATAGTTGATAACATTAGCTGATTGTAAAAAAGTGTTTGGTAAATTAGCTGTTAGCTGATAGCTGTTTGGTATAATTTCTTTTCTCAAAAAGCTAATTGAAAAAGTTGCTTAGAGTAGCTTTTTCAATTTTAGCCTTTTGAAGTTGCAAAAAGCTAATTAACCAAACATTTATATTGATATTTTAACTAAATCAAACAATTAATAGTGGTCAAATAAGCCAAAATTGGCCTATAGGCCAATTGTTCCATAGCCATAGGGCCATAAACAAACTGAACATTAATGAACAGAACTTGTTCATTTACCTTAATAAATGAACATAAATAAACGCTTACCAAACACGAACATTAGTAGTTTACGAAAACTATATTCGCTTATACCCCTACATAGCCCAGAGTATGGCAGATTTCAACTAAACGAAATGACAAACCTTTGCATTATATAAAGGAAAGTTGCTCAAGATTTAGCAGCTGTTTAGTACACAAGACATAAATCTGCAGAAATTACAAATTTGTAATCCAGAAAAAGAAGAAAGTTGCAGACAAAAGTTTGGTTGGTGCCAAACTGCCAATCAGTCCTTCACATCAGTTACACCTTCAGGAGAAATTTGAAACCTTGCTTCAGCTTCAGCTAAACATGGAGAGCTTACTACTTTACAAACGCGCTCTTCTCCTCTTCCCTTTCGAAGAGCCAGCCTGTTAGTTTTTGGAGAGCGATAAGAACTCTGATCTTAGCATCATGTAAATAACGCGTGCACATTTACATACCTTGTTGTAGAAGCGTGCGCCATAATGTTGCCGCCTATGGGTTTGATCTGAGGTCCAGCAAAAATGGCAGAACCGTCGACTTGGGCAACCACTTGGTTAGTAATTACAACTGCAACACCAAACTGCAAGTTCAAATAAGACATAATTAGCGTCAGACATCCTATGCCTTAATATGGGAATGAAACATCATTTGACACAGTTTAGGACAAGCTTTACGAGTGCAATTGTGTTGAGAACAGGTAAGGAAACTACCTCGTCCGCTAATTTCTGAAGGCTTCTTAGGAACTTTGCCAGATGCATTTGCCTGGCAGACAACTCCCCTCGTCCAGAAAAATCAGTCCTATAAAGTGCGGTAGCACTATCCACAATCATAAGAGCAAACCTGCATTGGAAAAGGAAAACTTCAGCTTCACATGACTGAATTCTGAGAAGCCGCTATACACAATTCAGTAAGAAGAAATGGCGTGTTTGGTAAATGGCTGTTAGCTTATTCGGTTAGTGAGTTTGACTAGTTGATAGCATTAGCTGATTGTAGAAAATTGTTTGGTAAATTAGCGGTTAGCTGTTAGCTGATTACATACAATATGACTTTCTCAAAAAGCTTATCGAAAAAGCTACTTTGACCAACTTTTTGAATTTTAGCATTTTGGAATAATAAGTTGTTACAAAAAGCTAATTAATCAAACACTCATTAATTGTTTAACCAAGTCAAACAGCTAATAGTGGTCAAATAAGCCAAAATTGACTAATAGGCTAACTATTTTACCAAACAGGGCCAAAATATTAGTATTCCTCACAGCTCGTGACTCCATGTACCTGGTTTCTACCATCATTGAGGCTGCCTCGAGCAAAAGCCTTGACTGATGATCAGTGTTATAAGCTCGAGCATATGCCACATTTTCTAGAACATCTGCTCCATTCAACCCAAACCTGTAACACATAAGACCATTAAATAGAATAAAAGAAAGTTCAAGCTCACAATGGTATAATAAACTTAGCACACGAGATGCAATGACAGATTTCATTAGATGACCTGTCTGCAATCTGCAAGAGTCTTTGTGGTCTGAAAGTGCCCTCAGCATCAATATACATTGCCTTCCCTTCACCGCCCCCTTGATCTAAGGGAAGCTGATATAGAAAGCAGAGAATGATTTAAACATGTTAATAGCCAACAAACTTCACCAACACTTATCTTTCGATTTTGACAGCAATAGACCACACCACGCTACACCAATATCTATTAAGGAGATAATCATTCTTACTTGGCAAGTAACACATAATGTATGACAAAGCTGAGTCTTCCCAGAGCGGAATTCGCCATAAATTTCAGTGATAGATCCCGTTTCAATTCCCCCTGTCAGTCCCAATAACACGAGCTTATAACCAAACAAAGACATACAAGCGTAATAAGCTAGTGATAAATGAAAATCTACCTTCCAAGACTTTGTCAAGCTCTTTTGATCCAGATGTTATTTGAATGATTTCAAGCCTCTGTGCATGGAGTTGGCTGGCACTAGTAAAACCCAGAGGCACCAATTTTGAAGCTGTTAATATGAGCACAGCAAGCATGTAAGTATGTAACTATGTAAGACTACTTCATTCACAGGCATATTTGCAGCAGAAAAAACAAATAGAATGACAATAATGTGGTTGAAACAATAATCTAAAAGACTGACCTGCCTCTATGATTTTGTCAACTTTAGCTTCACTGATCCCTTTTATTTGCAGAAGGTCTTTTCTAGGAGAGTACACAACTGATTCTACAGTACATAGACCCGCATCCTTAAGTTTCTTTACGTCAATGGCAGAGATTCCAGATTCCTAGAATGAAAAAAAAAAAAAAAAAAAAAAATGATGTCTGGGTAACAGTGCAAACTTGTATATGAGGAATGACGAATGCTTGGTAAGCCTTGTATAGATTGGAGCCCTAAATTATTGAAAATGAAACTTTGAGGAAAGGGTTCAAAAGACTCGAAGTCGGGTCAGATGGAAAAGATTCATTCTTTGTAATATCAACAACAAGAAGGCAAACTAAGGAAAACCCAGCAACTGCAGCGACATAAAACCCTGAAATTCAGCCTCGAGCAAGCAAAATTGGCTTTGAAACAAAAAACCCATTCGCGAATTTTTGACAGAAATCGTGAAATTATTCGAATGTAATGGAAACAAAGTAACCCCATCCCGATTTGAAACAAAACCCAGAAATCTTGGAATCTTGAAGATCCAAAAAGATTTGTTTTTCCTTTATTGCATAGAAGATTGGGATTGGAGTGAACCTGGAGTTGCTCAATCGGGAAAGGGCCGTGTTGAATTTCCTCGACCTCATCTTGCTGCCGTTCTTGCACACTTTTCTGCTGGTTTCTGTGCTGCTGCTCCATTGTTGCTCCAAACTAGTGTGGATGTATTTCGCTTTCGCACGGAGAAAGACGAAAGGGAAAAGATTTTAAAAGCGTTTTAGGCGCCAAAAATTAGAGCGTCGTGGGAGGGATCAAAATGAACCTCTAGCGTAATGGGCAAGCTTTCAAAACAATTCGGGATGATCAGACAAAAGCCCATTTTCACATTTCTCTATAAAATTGTACTTATATTTTATTTGTATCCATATTGTTTTTATAATATATATATATATATATATATATATATTCTTATTTATTTATTTATTTTACTTTAATCTTAAAGTATTTCCAGTGCAAATTTTTTTGAGTAAATAAAAGTAAATGAATAAAAATTTGTGGGATTAAAAATTTGAGTAAAAGTTAGAGTACATATAATATTACTCTTCTTTTATTTTCACTTTTATTGCACAATTTTAAAAGTTTTATTATTTTTATCCTTCTAACATAAAATCACATCATTTGTAACCAATTTGAGTTATTCGGTTGGATATATTTACAATTCAATTACAATATAATTTTTTGACCACCCAAATAACCGTGTTTAGTTGGAGGAAATTGCAATTCTTTTATTTTGTTGAATTGCAATTCATATTATCCCTATATGAATTGCAATTCAATAGGGAAAGGAAATGGAGAAATTATGCTTACTACATTGAAATACAAGTATATGATACAAAAATTTGGGAGAAGTATATGATACAAAAGGGATGGGTGATAGATATGTGATTGTGGTTGAATTGTAATTTAAATTTGCAATACCTATTGTTATTTTGCTATATTACATGTTTTATAAAATATTGGGGTAAAAGTTGAAGAAATAAAAAGTTAATTGGCTATCCCATGAAGAAATTCTATTTCTTTTACTGTCTAGTTATACACTTATACTTCCACCACATACTAATCTAATCGCATTCAAAATTTCAACCGTAATTAAACCGTGGAATTCAGTTATTACAGCCCGGGGACGAAATTGATTCCGGTGGAAGGCAGCCACGAATTGCCGTCGATGAACTTCGCCACCGTGAATTTCTCGGCCTCTTCTTTCCCCATGGCATGAAAACCGGGCCACCCGACTCTCCCACCCAACCCGCCCCTAGCCCCCACGTTCGCGTATTCCCCGAAATAGAGCTCCCTGACGGAGGAGGACGAAGTTCCGGGCCACTCAATCCACCCTCTCGCCGATATCGCGCCGTCGATATCCGATTCCATCACCACCGCTCTCGAGTACGGTTTCCAGGGCCGGCCCAGATACGAGTTGTACGAATTCTTCACCGGAGAAAAATCCGGCCCCGGCGTGATCTTACACTTTTGCACCGAGAACCCGGTGTTTTGGCCCGGATCACTCCTCCCGTTCGCCAGGATAACGTTGTAGGAGCTGGGACGGCGGAGCACCAGATTGCAGGCCTGGAAAACTGCGGCGGCGTTTCCGAAGATGAAATCCACGGTGCCGGAGATGTCACACTCCCGGTAGAACTGGCGGAGGGAGAGCGCGTAGAGCGTGTCTTGGTAACCGGAAATGCTGCACCGGTAGAAAACGGAGTGGTCGGAAGCTACGGTTAAAGCCACGGCTTGATGCGCTCCGGGGCCCGCCGTGTTCTGGAATCCAATATCTTTAGCAATAAACCCATCTCCGGTGATTCCGAAAGTGGCAGAGCCGGTGAGGGAAGAGCCACCACCGACGCTATCGTCCCAGGTAATGATGGTAGAATATTTTCCATCTCCGATCAACGTGATTCCATCTTTACTGCTCCGAATTTTCTCCTTGTAAACTCCAGACTTCACATATATCACGAACCGTTGCCGCCCACTTGCAGCTCCGATGGCCTCCGCCACCGTTCTGAAGTTCCCCGTCCCGTCTTTCGCCACCACAACGTTTGCTTTTGTCTTGTCCGTCGTCGTCTCGAGCAGTCTCAGATCACGACCCGATACCCAGTCGGGAAAGAATCCTCCGTCGTCGTCGTCGTCTATATCCTCCTCCGATAGTTGACGTCCGGCGGCGGAAATTTCAGTATTTCTATTGACGAGTGCCAATGCGTTGCTGGCTAGTTGCGACTGGTAGTCCATGCTACGGGAAATCCGAGCAAACAATTCATCGGAAAACGCATATTGATCAGCCCAGTCCTTGCAAGCTTGTTGGAACGTCACGGCGGCGCTCAGCCATGTTTGGATGTCCTCCTGTCTGTTCTTCCCCGGAGATTCTTTCATCGCCACCAGCGCTTCATTCAGCCGCTGCCGAGCCATTCCCATCAACTCCTCACAATAACCTGAACATTTTTGGAACCACAATATATATACTACGCTCAACATATACTAACATATATATATATATATATATATATATATATATATATATATATATGGTTGAGTAAATAGACAAATTCACAATCACCATGTTACCTTAATTAAATTTAAATTAAGAAGACTAATAGATTGTTCCACTAAGAGCTTGACAGTCTGATCAATTTAGTTAGGGTTGTTTTCTCTTAATCTAAATTTTGGTTAGTTAAAAGACAGACAAATGCAAAAGAGAACAAATTAAAAGATTTGTGGTTTGGATCACCTATTGCCTGTAGTCTGGGTTGTGGCGGCTGTGAAGAAACGAAATGGGAGCTGAGTTGGTCAAAGTGGGCAATATGAAGATCGGCGTGAGCTATTGTCTTGTTGAGAAGCAGGGCCGCCGCAAAATCAACACGTTCGCCGGAGACCAAACCGGACAACGTCTGGACGCACAACCTGGGAAATCTAGTATACCCACATTGGATACGTATCTGATCCTGGGCGGCAACCTGCGAAACAGCGGCGGCGGCGATGGTGGTCACACAGCAGCCAAAAAACAAAACAAGCATTATTACCCAAGTGCGAGTAACCAAATCACTCTTTCCCCCCATTGCATGTAAGTGAACCAACTATAAACACAAATTAAAACCACAGAAATTTAATTTGGTTGGTGGAAAGACAATAATGGAATTATATTGATCGAATTGGAGACTGATTGGTATATATAGGGAGAGTGGAAGCTAAGATGTTACAGCGACGGGCCACCAAATATTCCCACGACACAGTTAGTTTGGTGTTCAATTTCAGACGGCCATTATATTGTTCCACTACTACTTGTCTCTCATCTATTTACAAATGCCTCCTACTATACGTAAAACTATCGATTTACTACTACGTATAGTAGTGTACAAGTAGTCTTTATATATTTGGTAATTGAATTGGTACGGTCCAAGTCCATGTGACTTGGATATGATGCCTCTCATCTTGTATATTGGAAAAATCTACTCTCGTTAATTATATCGTGCACAAGACGCATAATGCATTGTGTGTCCTGACCCAAAACAACATCGTTTTTATAAGTTGTGTAGGGACTTGACACGAAGAACACATTTCCGTCCATTACAGTTTTTTTTTTTTTTAATACTTGTGTTTATGTGTATTCTGTTAAGAGTTTATGTGTATTATGTTAAGAGTTTTTGTGTATATATTCTGTTAAGAGTTTCTGTATATTATGTATTATGTTAGATTATTATGTGTATTATGTTAGGAGTTTATGTGTATTCTACTATACAATTATGTACATTCGAAACATAGTTGTTTTTTTTTTTTTTTTTTTTTGGTTATAGAAGTTAACGGCAAAAAATGAAAACCAGGGCGCAGAATATGCACGATATAATTTGCCAAAAATCTATTGATGAGGGTAATTAGTTCCGATCTAATCATCAACTTTCAGTTTAATTCAATGGAATATAGGCACGACCTATCAGGCAGAATTTATGTGCAACTTATTTGATTTCTAGGAAAATTTTCACTCTTAAGACCTTTGAATTGAATTAGGTTTTATGGTATTAATGAAAGTTGTAGCACTTTGAGTTGACTTTTCAATGGTGCAAAGATCACTTGATTTTGAACATTTCTATAATAAAATATGATCAAAATACTAAATAATGGACAATTTGTGCTAGAATTACAATTCCTTAATCTATTGCTAGCTACACTTTTGTCTTGATTTGCCAATGTGATCAGAACCATTAGAAACATGCACTATTCTTTGGCTCTCCAACAAGTGTTGCATCTATATCCTTAGCTTCTCATTACCTCCCATTGACTCTATACATGCATCCAACATACTCTATAAATCATTCAATTCATCTAAATCATCAAGAATTACATCTAAACACACAAATGAATCAAATGAGGAACACTATGGACAAAAATATAACAAAAAGCAAGTAAAATAAGCTTAAATGAAGGTAAAACTATAAACAATTAATCGCTTATCATTATTTATTTTATTTTACGAATGTATTATTTTGTCCAAATTAAATATTCACCCATTTTACATAGATGATGACGTATGAACTTGATAGTCAAAGATATTATTGTATTAAATTGAAAATCTACGATCAAAGTAATAAAACCGCTATAGTGGCCGGATAAGCTATTTTGATGATTTACTCTTTTAAGATTGATTTCTAAAATGTTGTAAGACACTAGTCCTTGACTTGAAGTTGCAATATTTTAATTTACTCTTCTAATCTTGTTGTTAGAATTTCACTATGCATTTTTCACTAAAGTGCATAAAGTGACTGATGGAACATGAAAATGAACTTTCATCCTCCATGCAATATCCAATTTGGGAGCTAGGTCTCTCCTCAGCCACACGAAAAATTAGTCATGACAAAATTAAAGCATTATGACATGAACCAGCACTACTCAGCAGGTAGCCTCTTCAATCCAAATTTGCCAAAACTAATTTCGTTACAATTTCTGCTTTAATCGATTATAAAAGGATCTTACTTATTCAGAAAATATTTAGTATTTGGTGACAATGTGACATGGACTTTTATTGAAATTATACACCACCTTTTTCTATTCATGTAGGATACTTTAGTTAGGCTACCTATTGATTTACTTTTGTTTTAAGAATGTTTTTTGATTGATTTGACATTTTTACTTTATTTTAGGCAGGATATGGAGGATGGATAAAAATAAGGAAACCCTTTTACAAGAAAAATCATTATTATTTATGAGTTACTAGATTTTCTAGTGCATAGAAGAGAAGTTCTATGTTACACAATTCAAACTTCTTAAAAAGTTTAATTGTGTTTATATTAATACAAATCTACATTCATTTGCAATATAAACAAAGGTTACATAAAAGCCTTTTCGGCACCATTTTTCTCAACTTAAATGAATACATTGTGAGAATATAATCAATTTCTCGTAATCAATTATTAATTTCGAGTGTATAATAATCAAATTAAACCTCTCACTTAAGAAAATCTGAATACAGTTTAACTCAACCTAATTTAAAAGTAGACTCTACATAAAATGATCATTTAAATTAATTTTTCCAACCAAAAACTTTAACAAGAAAAAAAATGGAGAACTATTATATTTGGTGTATATATTTAGCAGACCAATGGTGTTCTTCATATATTTGGTGTATTTATCACAATTTTGTTGGAAATGCATATCTCTTGGGATAAAATGTGACAGAAAAATTAATATTTCGATATTTTCTATATTTAACGAAGCTTAAATGAACTCGATCTCATTTTTGTACCACACTTGAAAAGCTTTCCATATACTTTTGCTAGTCATGTACACCGTATCACTGTCTTTTCTCCTCAATGTGACATGGACTTGTATTATAACTAGATTTCAAGCCATGTTGGTGGCTTTGGAACTTCACACCCATCACCTCTAATAAGTGAAAGTGCCTAACATGACACATCAAATCCTTCTTGAATTGCATTATTGATCGAGTACTTCAATCCTTTTTTATTTCAGATGATTTTCAACAACTAACTTAAGTTGATTTACTTCTATGCGATTTTATGTCAACTAAGATTACAAAGCGAGATTTTACAGAATACACACCTATATATAGTACATATGAGTTTCTCATCATTCAAAAATGGTAATATATATGCATCCTTAAGCTCTTTGCTTTTGATCGATTTTCATGGTTCATTTTGATTTGGATAATTTTTTATATATATAACAAATTTAACTAAATGGTTTTGTGGTATGTTGTTTAAAAAGTGTTCACTCTGAATTAAATAATGGTACCATTGGTTTTATGGGAATTGGCCCAACATAAATCTATAAATTTGGGAGAAAATAAATAGGCACAACAATTTTTATGTAAAAATTACAAATCATTTTTTGACAGAGTCAAATTAAATACATTATGTTTCAAAGAATTTCGTACATATACATTTTGTATAGAGAGCGCAGCTCTAGCTAGGATTTGAATTATGTTTATGGAATTTTTGACATCTAGAGGATGAATTGAAGATCGTTGATCATATTGAAATAATGTCTTTCATGACATGATCAGTGGGATGTAGACTAGGTTGCAATTATCACAATTTATTACTTAATGGATATGTATTTTGGTCTTAGACTGTTTGGGCCTATACCATCAGGTAACAATTGTTATACCATCAACTATGGTCTATATTGTATTGTGAATCCTGATTCAAAAAATTATGTGTTTATTGTTAATGTATTTTGTATCTACTGTTAACCTTTTTTGTACCTGTAAACAAATTGAAATCACATCACATATTAATTACAAACACATAAACTGTTAACTACAGGTACAAGATATGTTAATGTAACTGTTGGTTAACATGTTATGTGTCTGCAGTTCACATATTTTGTACCTGGTTTGCAGTTAATAATTTATGTGTCTTAGTTACGCCCTTTAATTACCATGTGATGTGTTTTCAATTTGTTTACAAGTTCATAAACGGTTAATTACATATACAAAATGTGTTAACGGCAGGTACAAAATTTGAAGGTTATTTTTTAACCAAAATCCAAAATACGGTAAACCATGTTACTGCACCACTTAATTTGTTTTACATATATATCAAACAAAATCTGGTTGATTAATAGAGTAAAAAAATTAATGAAAAATATGATGTAAATTAAACATTTTTCAATTCATATATATTTTTTATCTTAAAATTTTCCCTTGTTTACCGATTCCACATGTCAAATCTTGATTCAAGGCAAGAAATTATATCTATTAATATAAAGGGTGAACAATATTTAATTTAGTATTAGTATTTTTTCTTCTATTTTCTTGTTTTTCCAAATATAATGGAAGAGTATATACCTAGGGTTTAGTTGAGTGTAGTATACTATACATATGATCGAAACAATTATTTTGCTCTTTCTCTTCATATATTAGACTATACTAATTAATAAAATGAGAGATGTAGAGGTTGGTAAACAAAATTTAAAAAAATGTGGGGCCGGGGTAAGATCGAATTGTTGGGGTTACTAAAATTGGTTCACGTTCTATCTATAAACCTAAGTTGCATGAAAATTAACGTTAATAAATATATAACTGAAGTCAAAGGATTCAGTTAATAATTAACTGTTGAAGCCGTAACGCGCCGGACATTCTAACGGTTTGATCCAAGGCTCTCCTTGTATGAAGGGAGCCACCGTGTACGGCGTCGCCTCGTCCTTCTTGATTTCGCCTTTGTAACCGCTCCACTTCACTCTAGCATTGGTCTTCGCCCCGGGGCCGGTGTTCGCGTACTCCGCGTAGTACAGCGTTTTCAGGGCGAAGTCGCCTTTCCACGGCGTGAATCCTTCCGGGTCAATTACGTCGCCGATCTCCGACTCCATGATGATGGTTCTAGAATACTCCTTCCATGGCCGGCCCAGGTAGGTCTTGATCGTCTTCTTCACCGGCTCGAGCTTTTCGTCCGCCAGGATCTTGCAATTCTGCAGCACGGTCCCGGTGGTCTGCCGCTTGTCCGACCGCCCCTGCGCCGTCACGATGTTCTGCTGCTTGTCCAGCGGCTTCCGCGCTAAGATCGTGCAGCTCTGGAACACCGCCGCCGCGTTGCCGAATATGAAGTCCACCGTGCCGGTGATGAAGCAGCCGCGGTAGAACTGCCGGTGCGCCTGCGCGTACAGCGTGTCTTGGTATCCCTCCATTCGACAGCTCACAAATACTGCCTTGTCCGCTTGTACTCTCAGCGCCACCGCTTGGTGCTTCTCCGGCCCCGCCGTGTTCCGGAATCCCAGCGATTGCCCCAGGAATCCGTCTCCCATAACAGCTACACTCAAAACGTACAATTTCAACAAATTAAATTAATTATATACTGGAATAAGGGTCAAATAGGCAACGCAAACCAACATACAATTAGATCACCAAACTAAAAAAGAATGCAATTGGGTCCCTGAACAACACAAACTTATGCAATTTGACCCAAAATTACTTGTTAACATAAATAGGAGGTTACTAAATTTTAAAATAATTTTAATTAAAATAAATATTAAAAAAAAAAAACCGCAGGAGACGAAGAAGTCCTCGTCCGGCAGGTCCCTTTGTCTCCTGGCCGGAGACGAAGTTTCCTTCGTCGTCTCCGGCCATGGAGACGAAGGTCTCCATGGTCGGAGACGAAGGTACCTTCGTCATTGGCTATGGGGTACCTTCGTCATTGGTTATGGGGTACCTTCGTCTCCAACCATGGAGACGAAGAGACCTTCGCCTCCATGGCCTGGCGACGAAGGTCCCTTCGTCTCTATGGCCGGAGACGACGAAGGTAACTTCGTCTCCGGGCAGGAGACGAATGGACCCGCCAAAGACGAAGAAGTCTTCGTCTCTGGCGTTTTTTTTTTTAATATTTATTTTAATTAAAAATTATTTTTAAATTTAGTAACCTCCTATTCAGGTAAACAAGTAAATTTTGGGTCAAATTGCATAAGTTTGTGTTGTTCAATGACCCAATTGCATTCTTTTTGAGTTGAATAGCCTAATTGCATGTTGGTGTACAGTTGAGTGACCTATTTAACCCTTATTCCTTAATTACTTACATTCTATCTCAATAATTTTTTTTTTTATTTTTTTTTGGTGTAACCCAAAATTCCCACTATGGGAGTGTCACATCTAGTCCATTGGCCTGAGTTTCCACTGCTGGCATACTAGGGTTTGGTTCCTAGGGGTAACATTATAGTATCCTTTCAAACAAAAAAAATCACTATGGACATATATATATATATATATATATATATATATATATATATATATATATATATATATATATATATATATATATATATATAGTTAGTGATTAAACCCCGAATGGTAGACACTTTTAAAAATGAAACAACTAGTCTGGAGATTTAAGGTTACTCTCGACCCAAAACCAAGTATCAATCTTGATGCTTGGTTAAGGTGGATGCACCCCTCCCACTCAGCCACCCAGGTTCATGGAAACGGGCACCTTTCTACTAAAGGTGTGTATGAGATAAACCAGTCTAGTTAGTAGAGGACCACAACAAGGTAGGATTATAAGGTAAACTAACCTAAATTATTCATAACTAATTGATTGATTATTCAACCAAGAAGGTCACGGAGTTAAACTTATAACTTGTGACTAAGAAATACATTTTATCACAATTAAAAATATAAACCTACCAAAAGTTGCAGTTTGGTATGTAGGGATTCCATCTACATAGTTTTTGCTGCCAGTGATAATAGACTTTTTAGATCCTTCACCATAAATTGTGAGATTTGCCATCTTTTTGGTGATTTTTACATTTTCTGCATAGATTCCTTCCTTGACAAAAATCACATACCTGCAGTATAAGTAAATTGTTTAAGAATGATGCTACTCTTAGAAATAACGTGGCAAAAATACACTGCTGGAAATTATTGAATTTCCAATCACTTTCTTAAATCAAGTCAAAAACAAAAAAAAAAAAAAAAGGTTGGAAATAGCAATAAAGAAAAAAAATTTCAATACAAAAATGATCTTTCTACTTATTTCAGATGATCAGAAATTCCATGATAGTTGGTACGTACATACCGTCCTGGGTGTTTCTCAGGGATGGCTTTTAAAGCTGCATTAATGGTGGGAAATTTTCCGCCTTTGCCGACAGTAGCGTCGGGTGGCTGTTTGGGAATATCGGCGGCGCCGCCCTTGAGCATTCTGCGTTCTTCGTTGTCCATCCATGTCGGGAATTCCTCGTCGCCGTCGGAGAGAAGATGTCGTTTGGGGTCGGAATCGGGGATATGGAGCGTGGAAAGCACGGAGGAGAGCTGGGAGATCATGGCGAGAGCGTTGCTGGCGATCTCCTCGGAGGTCTTGAGGAATTTCTTAATGGCGGTCTTGTCCGGGCCGTCGGGGAAGCCGTCGGCGCAGTCGTCCTGGAAGGTGATGGCGGCGCTCAGCCAGTTGTTCAGCTCGGGGGTTTTGGCCGTGGGGTTCCCCATCTCCTTGTTGGCGACGCTGGACATGGAGCTCCTCAGTTCCTCCATGGCGTCGCCGAGGAGCGCCTTGCAATCCTCCAACGCGGCTTTCTTCAGCGGCGTGTCGAGCTTGAGGCCGGAGACCTGTTTCACTGCCTTTTGGATTTCCTCGACGGCGACGGCCATGGAAGCCTTGACGAGATCCTTAGGGTTCCGAGCGGCGGAGGCGTTCTCCTTCGCCGCCTTGTTCAGGCTGCCCTCGCAGGTGGTGGTGAAATCCGTTCCGGTGCAGAGCGTTTTTATCATCTTCTCAGACTTCACAAGGTCAGGAGTATCAGAGGAGTCAGACGCGGCGGCGGAGTCGCCGTCATTATGAGACCCTGCCTTAGTGGATTGCTTGCCCTTATCGTCGTGGGGACCTTTCAACACCACAAAATATGCAAAAGCCGCGGCGGCGATGAGGAGGATAATGACGAGCAAAATGGAAGCGGTTATGATCCTCTTCTTCAACTTCGCCGCCCTCTCTCTCTTTCGCCGCTCGGAAATCATGTCGAAATCTTGGAACGCCATTGTGTACTATATATATATTGATTGGCTTGTACGAGGTGGAGGTGGAGGCCCGCAGGCCAGGCAGAGAGCACTCTGCCCTGGATTCAGGCCAATCCAAGGCAGAACGAATGATTTTACGTCTGAAGAGATCGATTAACGCTCGGCGATCTTCGCCTTTCTCTCTTGCTTGGATCAGTTCTTTTATTCTTCCTGGTATTTCATTAGTTTCGGTAAAAGCTTGTTGCCTAATGCAAATTTGTGAGACATAACTAAAATTTTCAGACTCATTACTGCCCAGGGCAAAACTTCTGGTGGATTGGAGACGTTTTAGGACACCCGATCCTCTTTCTCTCCTTAGTAGCCATAGCCATAGGTTCCCTAACTCCCACGTTGTCTGCATGCATGTCTTCCTTAGCTTCCTACCGTTTTTATCGTTAGTTGATGCTCGTTTATATCACCCTTAAATCCTGTTAGCTATGATCCTATGAATAAGATTAGTCTTGTTCGTTGTATGATTTTAATTAATTAGTCGAAGAAATATGTAGTTCATCCTTGGATTGGGCTCAAGGGCCAGGGTTACATAGAACAATAGGCCGAAGTTTTTAATATTTACAAAACTTACTTTGGGTTTGAACAACAGTCTCATTATTATGGGCCTACACAAACTACAAACAATCGTTATAACGTGAACCATGGTCCCTACTTGCAAATTATACTGTGCATCCGTATGCACCATGCATGGTGCATAAGGATGCAAAAACGACGTCGTTTTAATAAAACGCGCGTCTCTTCTTAAAAAAAAAATCAGGTTCGATTCCCAGCAACAACATATGAACTAAAATTCCATAATCGATGAACTATAATTCCATAATCGATGAATTATAATTCCATAATCAATGAACTATAATTCCATAATCTAATCTATGAACTAAAAATTCCAGAATGAATGAATTAAAATTCCATAATCTATAAACTAAAATTTCAGAATCGATGAACTACAATTCCATAATCGATGAACTATAATTCCATAATCAATGAACTATAATTCCATAATCTATGAACTAAAATTCCAGAATGAATGAACAATATAATGTTGTTGCTGGGAATCGAACTTGAATTTTTTTTAAAGGGGAGACGCGCGTTTTTTAATAAAACGACGTCGTTTTGGCATCCGTATGCACCATGCATGGTGCATGCGGATGCACAGCATAACTATTGGTCCCTACTATACTGTAAATCATGGTTTTGACGGTGATCGTTTATTATTGTTCAATTTACGTTACATTTTCTTTTTCTGTAAATCATATATATGTATGTGTTTTGTGTTATGTGTTTTTGTATCTCATGTTATGTAATTTTATACATTAAGCGTATGAATGTACCTGAAATAAAGTAAATATAACATGCGTTTTTGTGTCTTGTACTATGTGTTTTTGTGTGTATTGTGTTATGCGTTTTGTGTCTTATGTTATGTAATTCTGTACCTTAAGAATATTGATTTTGTACCTCAATTAAAGTAAATATAAAACATGTGCATGTATCTAGTGTTATGCGTTTATGTGACTCGTGTTATGCAATTTTGTATCTTAAGCGTAAGAATATTGACTTTGTACCTCAATTAAAGTAAATAATAGTTTAGGACTAAGTTTGAAATTGCCACCAAAGACAATGGATCTCTGGTGGAATTAACTATATATAATTGAGTAAACAAAAATGTCATTTTTTAAAGGCTAAAGTGTCATTTGTACCATGAATTATATTTGATTATTCATGCCGCACCCTAAACTTTCATATCGTTCATATCGAGCCACTTACCATTAATTTTTTTCATCTATCATTTTTTACATGTTTTCAAATTACATGTAAAAAATACTAGATGAAAAAAAAATTAATAGTAAATGACTCAAAATAGACGATATGAAAGTTCAAGGTGCGACATGAATAATTAGATATAATTCTTGGTGCAGGACACTTTAACAAAAATAAAAATATCAATCGAAGAGCTTATCACTAATTGACCTTGGAGTCAGGGCAACATCGGCATGACTTGACGTACTGAAATTGGATTCTCGTATCCTGACTTTTGGGTACGTTGTATAAAGCGAAATGTACAAATATTTTAGCCTGCCGCTTTCCGTCCGCTTTTTGGTTGAACGGGTGAACAACACGTGCAACGTTGGTTAAACAAAAGGCTACCCAAAAGTCCAAAACCAACCTATATTACGTGGAATGTTGATCCAATCTAATCAAGTTCCGATTGAAGCGACACGTCATTCTCACATCTTTTATTTATCTGTTGACAATGATTTCATTTGGTGAATCCATCACCTATGCCCCGCTACTAATTATAGAGTATTAATTATTTATTTAAACATTACCATATTAGGGTGGATTTTGAAACTCCGACAATGATTTTTGGAAATTATTTTTCGAATTTTAACATTTGATTAGAGGGAAAAACGAAAGTAAATAAAAAAATAAGAGTGTGATCAATAAATAAAAATAGAAGAAATTTTTTAAAAAATAACTTTTTTTTGAGAAGTTATTTTTCATTTGTAACAGTGGAGCAGTCAATTACCACCACCACTATCATTGTATATTTTAAATATTTAAAATTATAATTAATTACTTATTTTTCATAAAATGAACCAAATACTCCCATAGATAGGGGTGTGCAAACTTCGGATAATTTTCGGTTAACCGATTGAACCGACAAAGTTCGGTTAACCGTTTTCAAACTGAACTTTTTTGGTTTGGTTAATGGTTAAAAGAATTTTAAAACTTCGATTAACGGTTAATTCGGTTCGAAAGGTCGGTTAACCGAAATTTTTAATATATATAAAAATAATAATATAAATATAAATACTAATTTGAAGTTATGGATGTTTGGAGTTTATAATTCATGTTTTTTATATTTTGTTATGAATTTATTATGATATGTATTTTATTTTAATTGAATTTATTATTTTAGGTGTTATTTTTAGATTTTTAAATATTAACTTTAAAAAGTTCGGTTAATCGGTTAACAAAAAAAATTCGATTCGGTGAATTTGGTAGAATAAACTTCGGTTCGATTACCGGTTAAAGAAAAAAAAAATTTGATTAATTCAGATCGATTAAAACGATTCGGTTAACTGAAAGATTAACCGTTTGAACACCCCTACCCATAGAATTTAAGAAAGGACTTCAAATGTCATTTTTTTTCAAAAATTTATTACAAATACGGAGTAGCATTTTTAAGAAAGGGAAATGATGGAAATGCCACGTGTTGCATAATGGTATTAATCTCCAGCGGTGCAGCTGATCACTGAAATCCAGTTCAAATTCCCGCTCCAATAACTGCACAGAAACAGACAAAAGCTGGTACATTATAAGTCACCGTTCCCCCAATCATACTTCTCTGTTTGCTTGGGACTATAGAATTGTTTATCGCTTAATCATCAATCTGTCTGTTTCACTTTCAGTTTCACATCCGTCGTCGTAAATCACATTTGCTGATTTGCATCACTCGACCTTTCCCGACGGACGTACGGACGGCGAATCGGCGGCAGCTTTTTTGCCAGCCTTAGGTAACGTGATCTTCACTCGCTCTGTGTTCTGGATCAAGAGCTCTGTTGGTTGTTTCTAGTTTCGTACTGATAACTGTTGTTATTTCCGGGAAAAGAAGGTTGAGAAGTGTTATTTTGAGCTGTCTCTGATTAATCTGTGTTTATCTGTCTGTTTCGTTTCCTTCATTACATTTTTTGGTTACTAATCGCTATGGAACTGTGTGGCTTTTTTGGCTTTGTCTGTTGATGGTAAAAAGAAAGGTCAAGCTTAGTCTCACTAGTCTATATATGTTCAACGGTTAAGAATCGTATAAATTAGTCCCCGCAGTTTTTTTTTTTTTTTAAATTTTTTTTCTCCTTCTCATTTTTGCTGCGGTGAGGAACAGAAAAAATTCTATCAGGATTAAATCGATTTTTATTTTTATTTTTGCGTTGCGGTAAGGGACAAAAAATTCTATCGAGATTAAATCGAGAATGAGTGCATCTGAAATAAGTAGTCTAGTCTACATAGAAAATAGTTTACTCTTGTACTTACCATGAATCCATGATTATTACTTCTGCATTGGGGTTTAGTTCAGAATTTACACTTTGTAAGGCAATAATATTAGATGTTGTAATGTACGGGTGTTAGGTAGTAACCATGCTTGGCAATGGGATTGTTGGAGTCCTCGCTGAGTCTACTAACAAGTGGGAAAGGAGGGTTCCTCTCACCCCTTCACATTGTGCTCGACTGCTGCATGGTGGCAAAGGTAAAACTGGAGTGGCCCGCATTGTTGTGCAGCCATCCACCAAGCGCATTCATCATGATGCACTCTATGAGGATGTTGGTTGTGAGGTATCTGAGGACTTGTCAGAGTGTGGTCTCATATTGGGAATCAAACAACCCAAGGTGCTGAGCTTTTTACTATAATTGACTTTCTTATGTTGCCAATGGGTTCTGATTGCTAACACAAATTGGTTAATCTTGCTGCAGTTGGATATGATTCTTCCTGACAGGGCTTATGCATTTTTTTCCCATACTCACAAGGCACAAAAGGAAAATATGCCTTTGTTAGATAAGGTTAGGTTTTGATACTTATTGGATTCATTGAAGGATAATGTAGGCTAGGGACTTTTTCTGTTGACTGTTGAAAACTTTGCTCCTGATTTTTAGATCTTAGCATCAAAGGCGTCATTGTATGATTATGAACTTATAGTTGGAGATCATGGGAAGAGGCTACTTGCATTTGGGAAGTTTGCTGGTAGAGCTGGAATGATTGATTTTTTACGTGGGCTAGGACAATGTAAGTATCACTACATCTATTGTCCAAATTGCACGTGAGAAGTAATGAAGTATCTCTTTCTGAATGGTTCTTCTATTTACAGGGTATCTTAACCTTGGATATTCAACACCTTTTCTCTCACTGGGTTCATCTTACATGTACTCCTCATTGGCTGCTGCAAAAGCTGCTGTAATATCTGTGGGTGAAGAGATAGCCACTACAGGACTTCCTTCAGGGATCTGTCCTCTTGTTTTTGTTTTCACTGGTTCAGGAAATGGTACATTAGAATCTAATGGGATCCTCTAATCGTTCATTTAATGTAAGACCACACAATTGATTTTAATTACATCTGAATAACTATTGATTTTTTTTTCTGTAGTTTCTCATGGCGCACAAGAAATTTTTAAGCTCCTTCCTCATACATATGTGGATCCAAGCAAACTTCCAGAACTGTTTGGCACGGTAATGTTGGACTTGGTTCCTTATGACAGTACACATGTTAGCATGTTCCTTTTAGAAATTTGTAATCAAGTCATTCTGCTAGACTGATTTTTTTAAACATGAATTTAGAACGAGCCCTTGAGATATACCACCTTGAGCTATAACACCTCTAGTAATGGCAGAACAAGGGTTGTTTCTTGGATAGATTGTCAAATCCCTTCATAATATATCTACTCCAAGAACATATAATCTTTGCTGCATAGTTTTATGTAGCTTAGGTTCAACTGCCATGTATTACTATTAGATTAGAAGTACAACACTTCCGTGTCCCTTTGCTTGTGTATTAAGCAACTTCCTTCGCTCAAGATGTTATTAATCTCTACATGGACTTGGCTAAGGTTATTTTATCTTATTTTAATTTTTTTAGATTTATATTTTATATTATAAAGTATATGTCACAAAAAGAAATTATTATCATATGGATGACTGTTGGTTTCTTGAGTTTTTCCTGTCCTGGTTTTTCTTTTCATTTGACCTGTGTCCACATTTGTATCCACTTCAACAAACAATATGGTTGGTGGGGATTAGGAAATAATGTGTTGCTTTTGTTTTTCTTCTTATATCACTGTTATCATAGCTTAAGTTCAACATTTACTAATGGGAGTTCTCATTGTTTAGGACAAGGATCTTCCTACTCCAAAGAGGCCATCATCAAAGAGGGTCTTTCAAGTCTATGGTTGTGTTGTGACCTGTCAAGACATGGTGGAGCATAAGGATCCTTCAAAATCATTTGATAAGGTTTGTGAACTGGCTTCTTTTTGTCTGATAACCACACCAATGATACTGGTTTAGTGGTCTGTGATTTTCTTTGTTTCCACTTTCCAGAATTTATCTTCTTTGTAATAGTATCTTAGAGTGAGGTCAACCTATTTGGTCTTCATTATGTGAAGAAACGATTAGGAGAATAATATATAGCACTAGTGATGTAGTTTTTTTTTTTTTTTTTTTTTTTTTTTTTTTTTTGATGTAGTTTCTATGTACTGCTTTTTTATTTAACAATTTTTACTTCTTCGCTGTTTCTGGAACTGACTCACTGAGAGAATAATTGCATTTCCCTTATGTCTTAAAGGAAGGATACTAAGCTACAATTTAATTTTCTTTCAGGTTGACTACTATGCACATCCAGAGCACTACAAACCTGTTTTCCATGAAAAAATAGCCCCTTATGCATCTGTTATAGGTTAGTGATGAACCCTCATCATAAAGAGGGAAGCATCCCAGAACTTAATACTTATGCACTGCAGACTTTATTTTTCATTTGTTCCCGTGTCATGCTCAGAGTAAGCGGATGCAATGTTGTGTTGCATGAGTCACAATTTTCCATCAAGTCTATTATAAGCTTAGAGATCAGTGTTTTAGGTATTCTCTAGAAGTGGGTCAAGGGCTTTATAACACCTAATATTCTAGCTTACTATAAATCAATGCAACTGCAATAGTGTGGAAAATGGCTTTTCCCAATGGCATGAATGTAGGAAGATCAAGATGTGAAAATACGGAACACTTGATCACTCTTGTGAGGTTTGAGTCATAGTTGTTGAACCAAAATGCAGTCAACAACTTCATTTGACTGTTCAGGTTGAGTAATGGATGCTACTGCACCTCTATGAAGTTCCAACTTCACTCTTCATTTGATTTACCATAATATGATATTTAACTTTTCTTCTCAAAAAGATATGATTTTTAACTCTTAATTGCTAGACAGTATGGAGGTACTAGCAACACCAAGGGGCAGGCACTGACACTAAGGGACTGTTAGCTTATTTTAGTTTCCATTATTGCTTCAATTATTAAGTAAATAGTAAGCAAGCAGCCAGATATTTAGGATTGAAAGTAAGGCAACTCATCCGCTCATTGTATTGTGCAGTGACTTAATTAGTTCAAGGTCAATGCATAAATGAATTCAAGATAGGTTAATCCATAATGTAATATTAATTTTGTTGGAGGTCTAGTCTTATTCTCTAAATTGTAACACTGTATGTTTAGATGCATGCAATCAGCTGGACAACTTTTTACTCTTCACTGATTTAATAACTGACTCTGTAAAGTGTAAACCATGTTTTCTTATAAACTCATACTATGTATTACCGTGACTAAATGCATCACATTCAAATTGCAGTGCTTGGTGAAATTTCTCTTTTTTTTTTTTCTTTTTTTTTTTTTTTTCCCAAAAAGATAAAATGCTCTTTTACCTGATGTTTGTTTCATGTGCCTAACTATTTCTTCCAGTAAATTGTATGTATTGGGAGAGAAGATACCCTCGATTGTTAACTACCCAGCAGTTTCAAGATTTGATGAAGAATGGATGTCGACTTGTTGGAATTTCTGACATAAGTTGTGATATAGAAGGCTCGATTGAGTTCATCAATCAAACTACATCTATTGATTCACCTTTCTTCAGGTATAATTTGGTATTTTGGTATGTGTTATGCATTCTCCAATTGGAAGTTATCTTCTTATTTGACTACCTGGGAGCTTTGGAAAACCATTTATATACATATACACATTTCTTCCTTTGTTAATCAGTCAATTTTAGTGCATAATGAAAATATATTCCTTTTACACAGAGTTGTGGTTTCCAGATTTATAGTTTTTCTCTTATTTGAATTTTTTATCTAATCATAGACTTTCATATGATTCAAATTTTTTTTATTCAAGTCACCCTATATATATATATATATATATATATATATATATATATATATATATATATCCAATTTTAGTTAGAATTGCATTTATTTATTTCAATTTTTGATGGTCACAATCATTTCTTGAAAACTGATCCCAGATATGATCCCTTTAATAATACATATCATCATGACATGGAGGGCAATGGTATAATATGTTCAGCTGTGGACATTCTTCCAACAGAGTTTGCAAAGGAGGTGAAGTGACATGATCTTGTAGCATTAACTGATCTTTTTTTATGTCCATAACCAAGAATACCAAGTACTGCTTCATTTTCCATTTCTTTTGCATTCTTTTATGTAGGCTTCACAACACTTTGGAGACATTTTATCACAATTTGTTCGAAGCTTAGCATCTGTGAAAAATATTGATGATTTACCTGCACCCTTAAAGAGAGCTTGTATAGTTCATATTGGGAACCTTACTCCCTTGTATGAATACATTCCTAGAATGCGGAAGTCCGATCTTGAGTATGTTCTTTATACCATCTTAGTTTCTTTTGTTTCAATGACATACTCTGCTATCTAATTGTCTTTGACTTCATCAAACTTTTAACTGTTTTTGAGGTTTCATACTAACCTGTTTTAAAGTATGTAGACCCAAGAATGTAGTATTGGTCAGTATCAAATCTCTTTGGATGTTAGAAACTGTTATCCAAGTAGTCTATTTTCAGTTACAATTCAAACAAATATCAATATGTTTACCACTTTCTTTGGCAGAGATTCACCGGAGATTCTTAATCACTGGCCATCCAATAAGAAGAGATACACCACATTGGTATTATTCTTAATTTTAATTTATTCTTAAATTCTTATTCTAATTGTTATCCTTATTGTTCTTAGATCACTAGTTCTAGAAAGGGTGAAGGATTGAAGAAAGACAAGCATATAGGGCTTCTTAGAACCATTACAACCCATCCTGAACTAGTGTAGTACTCCCATATTCAGCTAGAAAACCTGCCTATCCAATAAAACATGATTGATTATTATTTCTGCCTTGAGTTTGTGCAAATATTAGACAATGGGGTTACACAAAGGGTGTATCAATGTTCATTCATAATCTTGATATGGTTTTCATAAGCTATTTATTATCACTCGTCACTAATAGAATTTGCAAACTGGCAGGTCTCTCTAAGTGGTCATTTGTTTGATCAGTTTTTAATTAACGAGGCTTTGGATATCATTGAAGAGGCAGGTGGCTCCTTCCACTTGATGAAGTGCCAAGTGGGTCAAAGTTCAAAAGCTTTATCATACTCAGAAGTTGAAGTAAGTTAAGCTCTAGCATATGCTTGGTTCATCCAGAAAAATATTTTCATGATGCACTGCAGACTAGCATAAATCTATTCATGGGGCATCTGGGAATTCGAAATCACATTTTCTTGGGTTCTTGATTGTGAAATCTCAGTCCGATTGATTAGAGTCACTGCATTGTTATTTGTTGGAATATTAAAAGTCTTGGGCAGCTCACTAGCCTTAGTAATTAAATGGGCAGCTCACAAGCCTCAGTAATTAAAGCCTTGGGGAGATGAGTAGTTTCTTTATTTATTATTGTTTACTTTTGTAGACCTATATATAGACTTGTAACTTGAAGTTAGATACAATACAAGAACCCTTTCTAGCTTTTAACATGGTATTAGAGCCTCTTTTTTGGGGCCTGAAATTTCTCTCAAACACCTACAGCCGATGAACAGTGGTGACTGTTCATCATCCCTTTTCCGACAAAATTTTCCAACTCAGTTTGTCCCTTTTCTGCGATTATATGATGATTTTTTCATATTTTTCTGAAAGCTATGGCAAAACATGAGAGTTTAAACAGCATGCTGAAAGTTGCAAGGACCAACTTGTCTCATACTGCTCTTGCATTAAAATCTGATTCATCTTGGATTCTTGATTCTGGAGCCACTGATCACATTTCTGGTAATCTCTCATTTTTCTCTAATATTGAGTTTTCAGATTCTCTTCCCGATGTCACATTTGGTGATGGATCAAAAGGAAAAGCTATAGGAATTGGAAAAGTCACCATTCATTCTTTGTCTTTATCCAATGTCCTTTACATTCCTGGTTGCCATTTCAATTTGATTTCAGTTAATCAACTTACTCACTCACTTAATTGCCTTGTCACCTTTTCTTCTGATTCGGTGGTTATTCAGAACCGTCAAACAAAAGGGACAATTGGTGTAGGATATGAATCACGAGGTCTATACCATCTTTCATGTTCTGCCAATACCAAAACAGCTTGCTCGGCTTCTATTTCACCCCTTCTTAACCATTGTCGTTTAGGACATCCTGACCTCAATAAATTAAAACAACTGGTTCCTGGATTGTCGAATTTAAAGACCATAGAGTGTGAATCATGTCAGCTTGGGAAGCACTCAAGGGCTTCATATCCTAGTAGAGTGAATAAGAGGGCCAATACCCCATTTTCTTTAGTTCACTCTGATGTTTGGGGACCGTGTCGAGTTTCATCCACTTTGGGTTTCTCATATTTTGTTGTCTTCATTGATGATTTCTCTCGATGCACTTGGGTTTTTCTAATGAAGAACCGTTTTGAATTATTTGATGTGTTTCAAAAATTCTACAATGAAATTGTGAATCAATTTGGGGCATCTCTCAAAATCTTACGCAGTGATAATGCAAGAGAATATTTTTCTGACCCTTTCACTTCTTTCTTTTCCTCAAATGGAATACTTCATGAATCATCATGTGCTAGAACTCCTCAACAGAATGGAGTTGCTGAACGAAAAATTCGTCATCTTGTTGAAACAACTCGTACTTTGCTTATTCATAACAAGGTACCTAAGAATTTTTGGGGGCATGCTATACTTCACTCTTGCTATCTCATAAATCGTATGCCTTCCTCTGTTTTGCAAGGAAAAATTCCTCTTCATATCTTACGTCCACAGGAACCTCTCCATAAGCTTCCAATGCGAATCTTTGGGTGTACTTGCTTTGTTCATAATACTTCTCCAGGGCGTGATAAACTTGATGCCAAGGCAATAAAATGTGTTTTCCTTGGGTATTCTCGCCTCCAAAAAGGCTTTTAGTGTTACTGTCCTAGAACACACCGGTTTTATACCTCTTCCGATGTTACCTTTTTTGAAACAACACCTTTTTTCTCTTCCACCTCCGTTGAGTCTAATTTCCTAGGGGAACCCATTGAAATCACAGAAATTCTCCCTGTTCCTACTTTCTCAAAACCTATATCTCCCACTATTCCTGAAAGGACCATACCTATTCCTGAAAGAACTATTCCAACTCCAACCATTCAAGAGGAAGGACATATTCCACCATTGTTGTACACCTACCAACGACGCAATCGTCAAGATTCCCAAGAGGATAGACATCCAGTTGAGTCATGTTCTACATCATTGTTACCCAATGATGCTGCCCAAAACACCACGACAGACTCTCCCATTGCCAGTCGGGTAGGTAAAAGATCCACTCGAAATCCTTACCCTATCTATAATTTCCTTTCACAAAAACGTCTGTCTCTATCATATTGTGCCTTCATTGCTAGTTTGTCAACTGCTTTTGTTCCAAACAATGTCAAGGAGGCATTAACTAATCCAGGGTGGACTCAAGCAATGGTTGATGAAATGAATGCACTACATTCTTCCGGGACTTGGGAGTTAGTACCTTTACCTCCTGGTAAAACTGTGGTTGGTTGTAGATGGGTGTATAATGTGAAGGTTGGTCCAGATGGACAAGTTGATAGACTCAAAGCTCGACTTGTGGCTAAAGGATACACACAGGTTTTTGGCATTGACTACACGGATACCTTCTCACCGGTGGCCAAGATCACTTCTATCCGCCTCTTACTCTCAATGGCAGCCAACCATCACTGGCCACTGTATCAGTTGGATATAAAGAATGCCTTCTTACATGGGGATCTGAATGAGGAAGTGTATATGGAGCAGCCACCTGGATTTGTGGCTAAGACAGGAGCTAATCTTGTTTGTCGTCTTAAGCGCTCTCTCTATGGGTTGAAGCAATCTCCACGTGCCTGGTTTGGGAGATTTAGAGATGTGATCCAACAATTTGGCATGATTCAAAGCAAGGCTGACCATTCTGTTTTCTATAAACATCTACTTGGAAAAAGTATATATCTTGTGGTTTATGTTGATGATATTGTCATTACAGGGAATGATAGTGAAGGAATAAATCAGCTTAAGAAACATTTGTTTCAACATTTCGAGACAAAGGATCTTGGAAAATTGAAATATTTTCTTGGTATTGAAGTTGCTTAATCCAAACAAGGTATCTATGTGTCTCAACGAAAATATGTTTTGGATATTCTTGAAGAAACAGGAATGACAAATTGCAAACCAGTTGACACACCCATGGATCCAAATGTCAAACTTCTTCCAAGACAGGGGGAGCTCCTATCCAATTCAAGTAAGTATCGGAGATTAGTTGGCAAGCTATTGTACTTGACTATCACTCGACCAGACATCTCCTTTGCTGTAAGTGTAGTTAGCCAATTTTTGCAAGAGCCATGTAAAAGTCATTGGGATGCAGCCGTCAGAATATTGAGATATGTGAAAAGGTCTCCAGGTACAGGGTTGCTCTATAAAGATCATGGACATACAGAAATTGTTGGCTATACAGATGCAGATTGGGCTGGATGTCCTTGGGATAGGAGATCAACATCAGGATATTGTATTCTATTTGGAGGTAATCTTGTCTCTTGGAAAAGTAAGAAACAAGATGTGGTTGCACGCTCAAGCGCAGAAGCTGAATACCGAGCAATGGCACTTGGAATATGTGAGCTAATTTGGGTTAAACAACTTCTTACAGAACTCAATTTCTATAAGCATGGTCCTATGAAATTAATTTGTGATAATCAAGCAGCGCTCCACATTGCGTCTAATCCTGTCTACCATGAAAGGACTAAACATATTGAGGTTGATTGCCACTTTATACGAGAGAAGGTCGCATCCGGAGACATTGTTACCACATTTGTTGGGTCAAATGGTCAACTTGCTGATGTTCTCACCAAATCTCTCCGTGGACCTAGGATTGAATACATTTGTAGCAAGCTGGGAGCTTTTGATTTATACGCTCCAGCTTGAGGGGGAGTGTTGGAATATTAAAAGTCTTGGGCAGCTCACTAGCCTTAGTAATTAAATGGGCAGCTCACAAGCCTCAGTAATTAAAGCCTTGGGGAGATGAGTAGTTTCTTTATTTATTATTGTTTACTTTTGTAGACCTATATATAGACTTGTAACTTGAAGTTAGATACAATACAAGAACCCTTTCTAGCTTTTAACATTATTCATCATATGCTTTAGAATTTCATATTGCTTCTCCACCAAGAGAAAGCGATCAGAGTTTCTTCATTATGTGGTTCCCTGAGCAACATGGTTATTTATTTGTGGTTTTCAATTACAGGTTGGAGCAGATGATAAAGATGTGTTAGATAAAATACTTGATTCTTTGACTTCAATAGCTTATCCAAGTGAACATCTGGGATCTAGCAACAAGGACAAAAGTATGATATCTTTTAAGGTCGGGAAAGTCCTTGAGAGCAGTGTAGAAAAGGATTGCAGTGCAAACAAGAAATACAGAGTCTTAATTTTAGGTGCTGGTCGGGTGTGTAGACCAGCTGTTGAATTTTTAGCATCATTAGGTGGTATTTCTGCTGAACAACAGCTAAAATCGTGCGTCTCTGATGATTTTGAAGAACAAAACTGTGTTGAAGTCATTGTTGCTTCTTTATACTTGAAGGATGCCAAAGAGGTATTTGCTTTTTGTATTCAGTTTTAGCCCTTGTGTTGAAGTGAAGAGAAACTCTCTCCTGCTTACATTAATTTGAAATTCTCCAGTTTGGTCATATATTTAGTTGTGCTGAACTTGGGAGCATTGTTAATAGTCTATATCAAGTTCCACCTTGTATCATTTGATAAACTTATTTTCTTGAAATTGGGTATGTAGTCTGATATTAATGCATGATTTTCAATTGTGGTTAGGTATTCAACATATAGAAAATTGTAGCTATGATGATTTCTTTCACACTATTATTACATTTATCAATGAAGATAGTACATCATCACTCTTCCAATGAGATTCCAACACTATATGAAAGTGCAGGTTACAGAGAGTATTCCAAATGCAAAAGCAATTCAGCTTGACATCTCAGATCGTGAGAGCTTGCACAAATACATTTCACAGGTGCTGTCTTTTGTATACTTTGAGGAATTTCATAACAAATCAAGATAAAAAATGGTGCTAGCGTCTTCATTACACTAGAGGAAAAATACATTGAATGTGAGCTCCCTCTTTTGTTGATACTTACAGCTTTATGTTACACAGGTAGATGTAGTTGTCAGCCTACTGCCTCCTAGTTGCCATTCTACTGTAGCAAGTGCATGCATTGAGGTAATCTTCTGTTGTATTTATTACTCTTAGTAGTTATCGGAACTCTGCACATTAAAGATCCTGTTTTACCTACTGTAGATTGCACATTAGGTCTTAGGGCTCCATAATGTATTCCAAAGTAAAAAGTGTCTGTCACTCTCTTTGAGAGATGGGATTAGATTAAGAAACAGTTTATTTCAAAAGAAAAGAGGCTAACTTTTGCAAGTAGGGAAGCTAAGTCAAGTGTGCTTCTTTTCATCTAGTTGCTACCTTACAATATGTCAAGAAGATGATGGTCGGAAATAATATAGTTAAATAAGGAATGCGCCATCATTGCACTGAATGAATGAAACAAGTGTACAGACTGAAAAAGTTTGCATTTTTGCAAGGGTAACTCAATGCTGGTTACAGACTTTAATTTCCTCAAGTAATGCTGTGTTTATGTTATGATGTAGCTGAAGAGGAACCTTGTCACCAGCAGCTATGTTGATGGTTCTATGTCAAGTCTAAGTGAAGATGCAAAAAGCGCTGGTGTTACAATTCTTGGTGAAATGGGTTTGGACCCAGGAATAGGTAATGTGCCCTTATAGATATGAATTCCAAAAGGTCAAATCATGTTATTAGCTTCCAGCCATTTCTTTTAAAAAAAAAAAAGTTAAATACATTAAGATAGAAAATTCATAAAAAGTTGCTAAATATTTAGAAGATGAGAGCTTTTTGTTGTTTTTATTGCTAATACCTTTTTGCTTTGGTCTTTTACCCTTTGTTCCAAGGTAATCAAATTTCCCTGTTTTATGTTTCAGATCATATGATGGCAATGAAGATGATCAACCAAGCACATGCACGGAATGGAAGGATCAAGTCCTTTGTTTCTTACTGCGGTGGTCTTCCATCCCCAGAAGCTGCAAACAACCCTTTAGCTTATAAGTTCAGGTATAGCTTTAACCCTCTGAATTATGGTGCTTCTTTGTAATTTCTTTTCTGAACTTGATGCTGTGAAGTTGACTTCTGAATATGCCAGTCCATCAAGATAACAAAAAATGTGGAACACTGCATGCCCTACATTCCCTTCCCTTGTCCCTGAGTCTCATCCCATGTCATTATTCCTCTATTCACAAACAGATTAACTGTCTTACTCTGAAACAATTTTCCAGTTGGAGTCCAGCAGGGGCATTAAGAGCTGGGCGCAATCCAGCTACCTACAGATTTCAAGGAGAAGTTGTTGAAGTTGAAGGTGTGTCTTCTAAAGTGCCTTCAACTTTTTACTAGCTTGAATTTTTTTTTTTTTCTTATGGGGCTCAATTCAATAGCTCTTGATACAAGCCAATAAAATTAATGTTAATACTAGACGTAGTCCTGCAGTGCTTCTTTATACTTAAACAGTGTAATATGCAGGTCAAAATCTTTATGATTCAGCTTCAAAGATTCGCATACCAAATTTTCCAGCATTTGCATTGGAGTGTCTCCCAAACCGCAACTCCTTAATTTATGGGGACTTATATGGAATAGGAGAAGAAGCATCAACAGTGTTTCGAGGAACCCTTCGTTACGAAGGCATGATATCTTTTAGGCTTTCTATAATATCCTTGTTTAACTGTCTGAGAGCAAATTTGCTCTTTCCGACTGCATTGGAAAAGCAGCTATTAAGTGTGCCAAGCTTTCTAGAATGATAAAACTTATAGATTAAGATGATTTGCAGGTTTTGGTGAAATAATGGGGACACTTGCAAAGCTGGGCTTTTTCAGCACAGAAACTATATCCGTTCTTGAACATGGAAAAAAGACCACATATGCAGAATTTCTGCATGAACTCCTTAGAATTGATAGTAAGAAATTGTCTGCACCATTGGTTGGTGAGAAAGACATAATAGATCAGATTATGGCACTGGGACATTGTAAAACTGAAGACACAGCAGCAAACACAGCCAAAACTATGCTGTAAGTTGACAGCATAAGTACTTATGCAGTATGAAAGTAATAAATACTATATAATTCTCACTGTTCTATGCTGAAAAGAGTTTACTGATTGAGCCAATATGTTGTTAGATTTCTGGGATTTCACGAGTCAATAGAAATTCCAGTATCCTGCAAATCTGCATTTGATGTTACTTGCTCACGTATGGAGGAGCGGTTGACATACACAGAGGGAGAGAAGGTAACTGTCAGTTAATGATACTAGCCTGTCAATCTATTGCCATTATTCATTCATTCATTAATAGTATGATTGACTTGATAATATGCCATCAGGACATGGTGCTTTTACACCATGAAGTGGTGGTAGATTTCCCAAACGGCCAGACTGAAACCCATCAAGCCACTCTTTTGGAATTTGGAAGGACTAATGATGGAAGAACAACCACCGCAATGGCTATTACAGTCGGGATTCCAGCTGCCATCGGGGCACTGGTAATTTTCTTTGAATTATTCATATTTTCACATCATACATTTGAGTGAGTGACGAAGGAAACTCACAATCACTACCTGAAGGTGTACACTGGGTAAACTCAAAATTATAACCCTAGCCGGAAAATGACTACAAGGAGGTAAACCAACCTCGGTTGTCCAGAGCTGACCAGTTCAAACTAAGAAGGCCAATAGGCCACTCCCGTTGAGAATTGAACTTGTAACCTTGTAGTTATCAAGTCAACATTCTGACCAACTTGGTTGGGGTTGCCCCCCACATCATACATTTGAATCAATGGCTGTGATACCATACTAAGATTGAATTCTCTACTTCACAGTTGTTACTGACACAAAAGATAAAAGCAACTGGCGTTTTAAGGCCTACTGATGCAGAGGTTTATGTACCAGGTACTTTAGTCTTACATTTCTGGGGTTTGCCCAAACACAACCTCATCTTTTACTACCTTAGATTGCTCTTCCCAGCTTCATATACTGATGATTACCTTAATGCTGTAACTAACACGCTTGTTCTGTGAGAATTTGCAGCACTGGATATTCTGCAGGCATATGGTTTAAAGTTGGTAGAGAAGATCGAGTAGCTGAGAAGCCCTAAATGTTCATCCAAGTGTTTATAGATGTTAGATAGCCATTAGCCAGATTCAAAGCTCTAACATCATATATAGTGGGTAGCAGAATTCCTTACTTCACTCTGAGACTATTGGAAAGACAAGTAATTCTAATGGGAAAGATGGAACCCGAATGCTTTTATTATGATCATTTTAGTTATCAAATAAATTCCATGTTTTATACAAGCTTGATTCTATTGTCCACCTTTGTCATACAATCTACTTGAAGTAAAGATTTCAGGAGCCTAAACCTTGCCCCATTTCTTAAAAATAATGAAAGTGAAAGGAGGAGGGTTGGCCCTGGAAGGGAAAGGGAATCAACTCAAGTCTATTATCACAGATTTGATTCAATGGTCTCCCACCAGCATTCCACCTAGAGCCAGGACCGAGGATAATACAAGAGTAAGAACTCGTTTGAATCATCAAATTATCTACCGAACCTACTTTGCAATGATTTTGGGAAAAGTCCACGATACTAATTGCTGCTCCACTTCTTCCCAATTATGAACTTTAGTGACTAGGGGGTGTCCTTCAACTGACTCTGTCTTGCACCATGGATAAGAATTTTCGTAATCAAACAGAAGAACTTTCATTCCAACTTCAGCACACTCGATGGCATATCTTGGATTATCATCGATCAAAACTTTTGCTCCGAGTGACCTACCAGAGTTGGTTCATCATGAGAATAACGTTAGACAACATTTCTAGTTTTCGTTCCTTTTGTCTGCAATAATCTATGAAAACCATTCTCCGTAGCCAAACTACAGAGAATTAAAGTGGCTTAAGCAAGCTGACAACACACACAGCCATGAATTTTGATTTCAGTACCTGCAAATTTCTGATTTTGGTATGGACTTTCCATTTAAAGCAAAATGATTTCCAAAGTGAATATTTTGAAAAAGACCAGGATAATGGTTCTCAATCCACTTAACTGTGTGATCTTTAATTGCATTTTGTCGGGACCTGTGAAGAAATTACCAAATGATTATTAACTCAAACACTAAGATCACAATAAAAAGCCATTACATGAATAAAAAGCCATGGAGTACATACGTAACTATTGAAAGGTTGCAGAATCTGGATAAGTTTTGCAGAGCTTGCTTAGCACCTGGAATTGGATGTATCCCTTTTTTGAAATAACATGTCTTGAAGAATTCATGAACACGAATATCAGCTGTCACAAGGAAGGAGGAACTTTTTTACTGACAAATTAATCCACTTTTTATCAGACATATAATCCCAATATTCAGAATGAGATAACTTAGTCTAGATATCAAAATCATACCACAAAGATATACATTAATGTATGAGATAACTTAGTCTAGATATTAAAAAAAAATAAAAAATAAAAAAATCACATATATGGATATAAATCAGAAAGTAACAATTGCACGAAATATGTGAAGAACTAAAGCCTACACTTGAAATGAGATTTGACAATACATCTATTTTCGGTTTTTATTTATCTTTTTAATTTTTAAAGATGCTGGATGTCTGGGAATGCAAGATACTAGGTAACTAGGACAATGAGAGATAGAAGAATATATGAACAAGGCAGCTATAGTTTGTAATACAGACAAGTTTTTGAATCAGTAGAAAACCCGAGGAAAAAACCTCCCTCCCTCTCAAAAGTTAAAAGATTATTATCGTATTTAACATGGAGATACCATCTTCCAGAGTTCTGAAGCTTTGAATGCATAGGTCAGATTTTTATTTTTATTTTTAAAAAAATTGAGAAAATGAAGAATGCCAATAGAGTGTGTTCAGAAATTGAAAGTAAAGAAAAAAACAAAAACAAAAACAAAGTATTCCCCATATTTTGCTTCAAGTCTTCAATTCCATATAGTCAATGCTAACTTCTAATGATAAAATTAAAAGCAGGGTTTTGTTTTAGTGGCAACAATACCTTCATCCCTGGAGCAATTCCATATCTGTAACAGGAAAGAGAGTGGGTCAGAAGGTGAAGACAGGTTTTGTTTCTAAACAACATCAGAACCAACTGAAAAGAATATATAGGCTAATACTCACAAAGACGGAAATCCAAATACATATTCTAGACAGGGGAGCACAGATGAGAATTTTTAGCAGGACCGAATGACCAATGAACATCCTAGGCAATGGTTATTAAGTATTATTCGCTATATTTTCATTCTATGAGAAAATAAGTATATATGATTAACTCGCAGATATCAGTAGGGCATAGATAAAAGAAAATGTTGAAGTGCTACTCATAATACCTTGAAAAACTCATATACATGATATTCAGAAACTGAGTGATGCGATGAGTAGCGGTCAGCAATAAACCGATTGAGAGCTGAAACAAAGTTTCCAAGAACTGCATCACACCAAAGGATAAATAATTGATTATGAGAATGGGATAAAAGTAATCAGAAAATAGAATATCACCAAATCACATGGATTAGGTAAGAAGTTTATAACATGGTCAGTCATTTAATAAAACCACCCATGACAAGTCAACAAACACCAACCAATTCAGCTCAAAATCAGTTAAGTGTTGATCTGAAATGGTCAAATGGCATAGCTTTGAAGGAGCAAGAAGTAAAGGTCATCAGCCATTAGAGTAATAATACAATAAATGGTTCCAATGGGAGTGACCTATTGACGTTCTTGAGCCAGTCAGTTGGGCAATCTAAGCTGGTTTAAACCTGGCAACTAGGCAGGTTTACCTGTGCACGTCATCCAATCCAATAATAATAATAATAATAATAATACAATAAATGGGACACAGAAAATGTGAATATTACCCTCATCAACATCAACAGCAACTTCGATTTTTTCAGGCAAATAATGGTTGGAGAATTCAAGAGAGCTTCCTCCTCGGAGGGAAGCTTTACTGTTAGTATCAGAAAAGCTTGAAGCCTCATCACCCAGCCTAAACTCCTCTGAATCACGAAGCAAATGAGGCAAACAGGGAGAAACTGCCCGTGGCTTAGGCAAACCATTGTTATTCCCATTTATACTACTACTACTGGCGGAATAAAAATTGCCGTCGATGGGCCATTTTCCGGCGGCATTTGAAGCGTTGCCTGAGCAACAATCCCTGAGCACGAGAGCAGCAGATCCATTCCCGTATCTACCCCTACCACACACATCAAGGGACGACCTCCCACCAGGAAAACAGCGGAACCCCAATTTCGGATGCGAGGCGAACGGAGGCGACGAAGCGGCGGCCATTAAACTACCACCACCGCAAATGCCTCGACGGCGAGGATGATGATGGCAGAATGTACGAGAAGTAACTGCGATCGAAAACAAGCGCGCGCAATTTCGCCTGCTTATCATAACGATCTCTCAAGAATATAACCTCTCGCACATCAAATCCAAAAGTAACATCTAATTTAAGGAAATCCGAATTCCAAAATGCTGTGAAATGATTTGCGAAAAGGAAGAGTGAATCTATAAACACAACACAAGCATGCTGGACGATGAGAAATCGAAACGGACAGAGCAGATCATCATCCTCTTAGCTTTGTAAGTGAATCAGGAATTTGCGAAGATATTCCTACTGGGATTCAGATTTCAGAAGAATCTGATGTAGATTCTAAATTGTATGGAATTTTAGACATCTAATCTAATGAACATGTGCACCATTTCTGTTCAAAAAGAGGTTGTGATTTTGCATTCATGTAGCCACTAGCCCTAGCACAACTGCCAAATACTGTTTCCTTTTTTTTGACCTTTTTTTAATATATGAAATATACCTAAAAATAGTACTTGACAGTACATAAAGTGATAATCTTGGTTAGATAATTAATTTTATAATTAAATTTAATTTTTGATTCTAGATTTATAGAGTGATAATCTTTTTTATTAGAACACCCACTTTTGGTCATAATATTATGGTGGCATGACAATTTTTGATCATTTATCAACAAAACAATTTAAATATTATTAAATACAATGACATTTCGGTATTCAATTATAGATTTTTTCAAAAAATAAAAATAAATATAAAATATATAGCGGGTCAACCTACTTTGTATAAAAAAAGATTGAAATGTCTTTGTATTTAACAACATTTCAACGATTTTGTTGGTTAAGGACTAAATATAATCACGTATTCACGCCACAATAATACTAGGACCAAATTATGATGTTCTAATAAAAAATGATTAAAAGTGAACTGTCACTTATAAATCTAAGACCAAAAATGGAATTAACTCTAAAATTAAAATTATATTTTGATATTTGATTAACTTAGATTTATTGATGCCAAGAAACTAAAAATGAAAATGTAAATGTTCAACAAGATCTCTTGTAAGAGCATCTCCAACAATTTAAGTTTTTTTGAGGGGTTCTTGAACGTGTAATTAGGAAAAAAAAAATTGGAGAAGAGTGAAAAAGAAAAAAGTTTAAAATCAATTTACATGTTACCTCTGGTTATAAACAACTAATTTATCAAATATTTTTTTATCAGTGTTCAAAACAACTAATACAATCAACTAATAACTAATTACTAAATATACCCTCTTTACCTATTTTATATATTATTAGTTACCATGAATTCATCGATAGCATCTTACATTTAAAAAAAAAAAGTATTTATCAAATAAAAAAAGAACTAATTACATATTATCATTATCATGTTAAATGATAAAAGATTTTGATAAAAGCTCATTATCTATGAAATTTGATCATATTATTATATACCCTTAGAAAAAAGTAGTAATAAAAGTTATTGTCACAATTGAATATTTGATTCGAGTACTAGAATCTCAAATTTTGACCCAAGTAGCTTTGGGTATCAGATTTGAGTCAAAGCCTAGTTTGGACTTATACTGTCTAAATTTGATTTTACTTTCTTAGACCATCTTCAATCCAAAACACCAAATTCTGCACTAAATTTTACACTGAAAAGAATATTCTCAAAATATTTTTATACTAAATTTTTTTCATCTTCAACTCATTTACACCAAATTTTATTCCTACACTAAAATAATTTATATTCTCATAAATTAAAAGTTTATATTTATACTTTTATTATTTTAATATACCATATAGTTGTAATTTAATGTAATTTAATAAATTAAACTTTAATTAGGTTTCTTGTGGCGTTGCATGAATGGGGTGCTTCCGACGCTATTTGCGTTAACTGGGAAGCGAGTGGAGCTTGATGCTACTTGTCCTCTTTGTCACCAAGAATTAGAAACTGTATTACATCTATTCTGTGAATGCACGGCTGTTGTCCCTCTTTGGTCGAGCTACGTTGAATGCAGTTTGCCACCAATTGGTAGTGATTTTACTACTTGGGTGTCGAATGGCTTGGTGAGTGGGTTGAAAGTATGCAGCTATCTGTTGGTCAGTTTGGAGGGGAAGGAATGAGGTTGTTTGGAATCAAGCAACTTGGCAACCTACAAGGATTAAGCATGAGATTGATAATCTGGTGAATTTTTGGCAAGAAGGCTTAGGGGCGGCCTCAGGTTCTAGAGTGAATGGTGACATGAACTTACAGGTGGCATTTGCAAGTATGCCAGCCCATCGTATATTTGTTGATGCGGCTGTTTTTCAGGACTCGAGCGAAGCTAGTTTTGGAATGGTCATCTTGGATAACAATGGCTCTTATGTTGCGGCGAAAGGTGGTCCTCTTCGATGCTTGAATAATGCCCATCTCGCAGAAGCTATGGCGGTCAAGGAGGCTCTATCCTGGGCTAAGGAGAGACATATGCAGCGAGTGATTATTTATTCGGATTGTCAGTTGGTATGTAACCTGCTAAACGGTTCATTGCAAGATTTTTCTTTTGCAGGTTGTATTCTTCATGAATGTCGAGAGTTAAAACGACACTTTGAAGTAGTATCTATTCGGTATATTGCTAGGTCAGTGAATAAGGCTGCTCATGCGTTGGCTCGGGCGTCTCGTTCTTTTAGGTTTCTTCCATACCAGATTGTATTGCTCTTTTGATTTAATAAAAGTCTTGTTCGGTGGTTTTCAAAAAAAAAAAAATCAATATTAGTCTTGTTTTAATCGTCTTGATGAGATCTTTCAAATGATATAATTTTTTTAAAATAATATACAATTCATGTTTAAATATTTAACAAAATATGTAAATATATAAAAATAAAAAAGATACAAAAGAAATTATAAAAGAAAATAAAGGGCAAAGGAGGTACAAAATAAGAAGAAAAAAGCAGTCCAGAAAATGGCGTAGATGAACAGTGCCACCCATATATGGCGCGGCACTGTTCATCAACATCAAACTATTTGGTGTTTTGGCGTCCTATTGGAGCCCTGTTTTTGTTGCTTTACGCCAAATTTTTTGGCGATTTGACGATTTGCGTCTCCTTGGAGATGGCCTTAGTTAAATCGGTTTGGAGTATTTTGCCAATGATGTCCTTTATCCTAATATTAAAAAAAAATTAATTAATAATTATCAAATAAAAACATTTAACGTTATACATAATCAATAAGCGTATTATGAACAATCCACCTTAAATAATGTTGTAGATATGGTTAGGAGTTAGGACTTGGTATTATTCCATATTAACATGTGATGAACATTAAAAATAAAAAATATAAAAAATACCGATGCTCATTTTAGCATTTACCACAAGCATTCTCGCAATGTACAGGGAAATACTTATTCAAGTTCTAAAATATAGATTTTGTCATGTTAAGTGAAATGTAAGTAACACGAAAATGAGAAATGGAGAAATAAAGCATATGAAGCAAAGAAAACATACAGATATAAATATATAAATATGTATTTACAAATAATTTTTCTTTTAATATACATAAATATTAATTGTTTATTACGGAGTAATTTTTAAGAAATGTATTTTTAAAAGAGTTAATTTCACTAGAGGTCCCTTATCTTTGGTGGTAATTCTAAATTTAGTCTTAGACTATTGTTTTTGCCATTTTACATCCCAGACTATTGTTTTTTGGACACTTTTAGTCCTTCTAATGATTTTTTATTTTTTAATAAAGGCATTTTTGTCTCTTCATATTTTTCTTTTGTTATTTTTTCGATTTCAACCAGTTTAATTGGTTTAGGACTTTACTAAAAATTGGTTGAAAAATATGGTTATTAAAAATCAGAGGTTACCTAAAGTTCTAAACCAATAAACCTGGTTGAAACAGGAAAAATAACAAAAGAAAAATATGAAGAAACAAAAATGCCCTTACTAAAAAAAGAAAAAATCATGAGAAGGACTAAAAGTGTCCAAAAAACAATAATTTGGGATGTAAAATAACAAAAACGATAGTCTGAGACTAAATTTGAAATTGCCACAAAAGACAAGGGACCTCCGGTGGAATTAACTCTTTTTAAAATTAAGAAACAATTCTTTAAGGTGGTGTTTGATAAATAGTTGTTAGCTGATTGAGTTAGTGTGTTTAACTAGTTGATAGCAATAGCTGATTGTAGAAAAGTGTTTGGTAAATTAGCTGTTAACTGATAACTAATTACATGCAAATGACTTTCTCAAAAAAACTGATCGAAAAAGTTGTGTTGAGCAACTTTTTTAATTTTAACATTTTGGAGCAATAAGTTATTACAAAAAACTAATTAGTAAAATACTTATATTGATTGTTTAACTAAATCAAACAGTTAATAATGGTTAAATAAGTCAAAATTGGCTGATAAGCTAACTATGTTACCAAAGCCTAAATGTTTTATGAAGTTTCTATAAATTTCTTGAGAATAAACATATGGTTAACCAAGAAGATGTGGACATATACTGCATTACTGATATACATTCAAGCTGGTCCTGATCATTATTTGAAGAATCAAGAGAAGAAATGCTAAGAAAAGAAGGCAGTAAATTGTAAAATGTTGGAGAGTAAGTGCAACAAAAGTTCAATGCCAACATACAGTGAGTGTGAAGGATGATGAAGGTTTGATTGAGTTGAGAGATGGCTTCTCATATCTCAAGGAAGAAAAAGAGCTCTCACTTTTAGATCACATAATGCTCACCCACCCTGCACTGTCTCTTCCATCTTCTGTTTCATCTTGTATTGCAATGTGGCTGGGGCGCAATCCAGTGCGGTCTCACCTGAAAATAAATAAGCTCGCATTATTGGCGCCATAACAGTTAATAACGCACACAAGTTGATTGACTTGATTCACTGAAACTGAAAACCTGGAAAATGATTTCTAGAAAATAACTCATTTTTTGGAAAATATTTTACTTTTATGATGTTTGAGTGAATGTTAGAAAACTATCTTTTTTATGTTTTGCTGAAAGTTAGAAAATGCATTTTTTTTTCCTGTGGTGGTGGTGGTGATGGTGATAATCATAATTTGGAAACTAGCTTGAAGAGAGATGAGAGAGGAGAGAGATGGGAAAATAAGAATCTAAAAAAGTCTTCGGGCTAAAAAATTAGGAAAACATTTTTCATCAAATTGGACTTTTTTTCCTCATTGACTAGAATAAATATTTTCCTTTGACTTTATTTTCTTTGAGTAGCCAAACACAGGAAAATTCAGAAAATGACTTCCGGAAGTCATTTTCCGGGTTTTCAAACAAACCCTAATGAAACCAGAAATTGCTCGAGTTCACATAGTTAATATTTACCTTGTGGGTTTTTGTAGTTCAAACTTGCTCCACTTTCCATGAGGGCAAAAGCTATCTCAGTTTGATTAAAAACAGCTGCCTGTGTGCAGTACATTGTTTACAATTGTCAATCCTTGTAATAAAATTGCTGTTTTTACAGATAACCAAGAGATAGAGAGAGGGTGCATACTAGATGCAACAAAGATGACCCATGCTTGTCGCGGTAATTTGCATCCACTCCCTAAAAGTTGTATGAGTTCAAATAGTTAGGAGTTAGGACTATTAAGAGCAAATGACATAGAGAGAGCAGACAGAATACCTGACTTAAAAGTTGCTTAGCAGCGGCCGTGTCACCATTTTTTATTGCTTCTCTCATACCCTGAACAAATGAAGGTCATAAAACACACTTCTGTAACAAAGTGTAGGACCCTTGACTCAAACATACTAGAGCGTTAACGGATAGTGCTATACCTCCCCACTAAGTTCATAATCCCCAGAAGTTGGTCCTGAACTAGTACTTGTAACTTGGCCAAGATTGAATACCGTGCTGAAAGATTTACAAAGGAAATCGCTTCTTACCAGACAGGATGATAAAGTAAATCATCAATTGAAAACCACAGTCATGCAAGTTGAACTACTCCCTATATTTTAGCAAGTAGAAAATTATTTTTCCCAATTATTGAAGAAGAAAACAAGACTGGGAGCTTTGATTAGAGTGTGTATTATCATCTGTAGCTTAAACAAGTGGAAGAAAGAACGGAGAAAGTATCAGTCTCCCTGTATAGGAACAAGTAAAATCACTTAAAACCCATATTCACATAGTGATGAGAAAAGAAATGCATGCATGCACTACTGCTGTCAATTATTAAAAGAGTTAATTCCATTTTTGGTCCTAGATTTATAGGTGGTAGTCCACTTTTAGTCTCTTTTTTTTTTAGAATATCCACTTTTGGTCTTAGTATTATTGTGGTATGACCATTGTCGGTCCTCTATCAACAAAATATTTTAAATTTCGTTAAATACAAGGGCATTTCGGTCTTCAATTATGGAATTTTTTTAAAAAAAAAAAAAAACATAAAAAAATATAGCGAGTCAACATACTTTGTATAGAAAAGATCGAAATGTCCTTGTATTTAAGGACATTTCAACGATATTGTTGACGGAGGACCAAAAATGGTCATGCCCACAATAATACTAGGATCAAATGAGGATGCTCTGATAAAATATATAAAAAAAAAAAAGACTAAAAGTGGACTACCCCTATAAATCTAGGACTAAAAATGGAATTAACTCATTATTAAAACACCAAAAATGGCAATTATAATGATGTATAAATTGATGGGACATTAGATTGACCTAGTGGATCTTGTAAATATTTCACTTACCCCTGCTTGTTGTTTGATGCTGAGCCTCTACTCTTTGGCGGCGCCGTGTTAACCTTTTTCGGTTTTGGGTTTGTCTGAACTGTAACAGTGGAAGAAGTAGCCGTGCCCTGCTGGAATTAAAAGAAAACTGTAAGGTCATGAGCTATGCCTAAAATGCACTTTATGAACAAAAATATCCTTTCCTGTAAGCTAACAGGAACAGTTTCCACTTGCGTTTCACAAATGCACAAAGGCATTCCACATTTGCATTCTGATTTGCTTGGCACAGGAAATTGCTTTTTTTCATTTTGATCATTTTCAGTACGTGGAACTCCACTGACATCTAATCTTGAAATTGAATCTGTGATATTATTGACTTCATCTGATGAAGCTGCTGCGTCAGTTCCCATGAATCTAATTGGAATGAGATTTGCATATGAGCATAACACCGAGGTGTATGAAATTTTGCACAATCAAGTCAACATGAACTCAACACAATAGTAAAATTGAAATATCAAGTTGGAACCTAAAAATAATAATAACAACAACAATAACAACTCAAAAAACCAGGAAAAAAAACAGAAAATCATGAAGCTAAGCTAAGGGGTCTGCTTTGAACATATTTTGCATGCCAAGCAATGGGGTCAGCTGGTGCATTCATGGGCAAATAGTAGTATAGTACTATAGAAGGAAGCATAAGATCAGCATATGATACAGATCAGTTACCAGGATTGAGATTTCTTATTTTCAGCAACTAAGATATTTAGGATCCATTCTATTCCTAGCATAATACTGTTATTTCCTATTTTAGCTCTTTTGTAAGCCTTAAGTAGCAGCATGCTCTGCAATGAGAAGTAAGTTGGAGTTTGAATAAAATCAAAAGGAAGTTTCTTCCTCCAACTCTCTCTTCTCACGTTCCGTTTTCCCTTATTCACAATTGGGAAGAACAGAACCGATCATTCAAACTCTCTCATAGGCCCATAACGAGGAGTATAACTCGTGATCATATCATCAGCCTCATTTTCAAGAGAAGTGCATCAACAGAACTCCTCGCATTCAATTTCAAGTTAGCATTGAAAAGAGGACGAGCATTAGTTGTTAAAACTTAAAAGATTTGCAGCAGACGCTGCAATATCTAAATAAAATTATGTGCACCACTAGTTAGATATTAAATGCCTTGTGTTGTACTGTTGTCAACAACTAGATTGAACAAGACATAGTCAAGCACATACTTAGAGAAGACCCAATCCACTTAACCTATTGTTTAGTCTAATTCCAAAGCATACTTTAGCCACCAGCTAAGCAACACCATTCTAGAAGATGTCACATGTTCATTCAAGCAGTTGTGACCTTATATGCCTTTGTGCTTGTGATCCTATCCACAACTATCATTGCAAGGTTGGATCAGAATTCACAATTTTGATTTCCCATGCTTGAGGAAAAAAACAAACACAGTGAATCTACTTGCCCCTTTAATGGCATAGTTGGAGCTTGTTCCTAGTTAAAAAACTTAATTCATTGCCATGGTACTGCTTTTAAAATATTTTCAAATAAAAGCAAAATGTAGACACATAAAAGAAAGACCAGAGAAAGAACTAAGGATTAGGAGAATATCCACAATCAAATTGCAAAGCATGATATACTAGTCTATTTGATACTTCAAATTGTATTTTACTGGGCATTCTTGTGAAAATATACCTAGGGGCATCATTAAAACAATCAGCGCAAACTCTGACTGGTGAATGAATATCAAACTGTGGTAAGGCCTGAAAACAATGAACCAAAAAAAAAAAAAAAAAAAGAAGATGAGCTACCAGAGAAAATTTACATCCAGACAGATTAGAACATACACATAATTCTGGAGTACATACCATTTGATTTGCTGAGTGTTCAGCACACAGAGTTCGCCCACAACACCTGCAATGATGCTACACAAAAAGACCCCAGAGAAAGACAAGACTCAAGGCATTGCATACAATCGTGCAAAATTAGTAAGTAAAAAGGGAAACATCTTGACCAAAACTGAAAAGATAGCATTCAATTATTGTAAAATCAAATTAGAGTAAGAAATTAGGAAAGAGAAAAAGACACGAGCATGTGCACACCCGATGTGAGTTCATTAGCATATAATGCATCACAACTTGATTAAAAAGTAAGTAAAATTTATAGGTTACGCAACACAGTTCCTGATTTTGTAGAAACAAAAGCAAGTGTAATCTTATGGTAGTAATCAGGATTAGGTACTACCATATTACAGAGTATCTTATTTTCATACAACTCTAAGAGACATGCCGTTGTCTTTTCAGTCTACTAGAATTCTCAAGAAAGGCTTCTCACTTGGTTTCCCACTAAGAAATCTGGGATTCATCATAAATTCCCATCTATATGGACCCAGCAGCCAACCTGAAGGCTTGAAGAAGGTAACACTGAGTGAAGTTGATCTTTACAACTAAAAACATACCAGTAAAGCAACACTGCAATATAAAGATTTTACAAACTTATTAAATCTGAAGGGACTTTCGACATACAATGCCCTCTGTGCCATCTATTCGTCTTTACACCAAAAAGTACCACTCTTTATCAGAAATACTTCCCTCTGCAGCACAGGTTGATAAGCCACCAAAACAGTATCTACTCATATCCTTCCAAAGCTTGCTTGTTTAAAACAATAGAAAACCTAAAGTTGACTAAGTAACCAATCCTCAACATCCAACTAAGAAAAGGTAAAATATATCAAATCAAAGGAAAAGGTATTTTGTCATGTCTACCTATTTGGGGATGAAAATCATGAATCAATATGACTCTAACTGAACCTTGGATTTGGAAAAGTACAGTTGCTGTCTAGCTGAGTTCTCAAACTTAGCCCTCTCCCTACTACTGCATACCAACTTTACTAAGACAATAAAAGAACAGCTTAAAAACAACCTAGAACACGTTGAATTGTACAACGTTAACTGACTAACTGCATACGAACTCCCCCAACTGTTAGGTATTTTCCAAAAAAAAAAAAAAAATTAATTAAAGGAAAAAACTTCCCACATCTGAAGAATCGATCCATGTCTCAATTCCTTTATTAACAACCAAAAAGCAGTTTCCATCGCAGAAAATGCATATGCAGATCGGATGGAGAGGTAACTTCACTCCACATCAGAGTGATCATCGGATAATATCAGAAACGGCTTTAAATGAGGAAAATTAAAATAAATAAGCAATTACAGCGTACCCGCCGCCGGAAGGTGCTGAAGCTACATTTGCAGACGTCGCAGCGCGATGCTTCCTGAAAGGGCGGGGGTTCCGACGACATTTTCCGACAAAACGCAGCACTCGATCCTGCTATCGGCCTTTCCACCGTTCGTTTTCACCGTAAAGGCGACTTTGTGAGCTGAGATTCAAAGAAAATAAAAAATAAAATACATATTTTTAAAAGAAGTGGAATATTCTTTTTTTTTTTTTTAAAGAATATTAAGAAAAACAAACAACCTAGGCTATCGATACCATATTAGGATTATAGGAATTGAAGGAATAATAGAATAATTACACAGATATATACAACAGGAAGAGTATACTACAACTAAAAGTATAAGAGTCCTAACACAAACAATAAAATTTCATTTGAAATTATCCCATATAATGTCTAGATAAGAAATTTCATTTAAAACTTGTTTCTAGTGGGAATTGTGTGGTAAAGTGATGTTTAAATTTTCATAAACATTAGAAGTGTCCTAAATTTGAATTAAGTTCTTGTGCACAAAAATGTACTATTTGATATTGAATCTTAAAACTGATTGACTTGATTTATTTAGATATAGTTCGACAAAACGGAGTAAAATCATTACATTATCAAATTAATAATTGATGTGTTTTATAAGGTGAAGATGACCAAACTAATATGGGCCACGATAATGGCATTTTTTATTTTTTTTTGGATGTAATATCCTACACTACGGCGCGCGTTGTACTGTACGTCCAGATGTAAAACGACGTCGTTTTAATTTTTTTTTTTTTTTAATTTTCTACCCCAGTGAATGGCAATAATTTTTTCTTTAAAAAAAACTCGTTGTTCAAAAATGTACATAATGTTATATTAGAATACACATAATTGTATACATGAATGTACATAATTATATAACAAAATATACATACTCTTTTTAAAAGATAATACACATAATCTAACATAATACATAATACACATCAACTCTTAACATAATACACACAAATTTTCTGATTCAGATGTACATAATTGTATAAAAAAATGTACATAATTGTATAAAAAATGTACATAACTGTATGAACAAATACACATAATTGTGTGAACAAATACACATAATCACAACAACTTCCTACCGCGCCTCCCAAAACGACGTCGTTTTGAGAGGCGCGCGACGCACAGTGCTACGCACGCCGTGGTGTAGGGTATAACGATTGACCACGAGGTGGTTCAAGTTTTCTCTGTCTGTTTAACGATTCAGGCCCACTCGACTAATCCTCATTCGCTTCGAGAGGCCATGGAACTGGTTCAGGAAAAATCGTGGCTTATGAAAATCGAACTCAAATTATCCTGAAATTCTTCTACACTACCACTCTACGAGTGAAAGAGACGAGGAGAAGCAATGTTAATGTCATTCCCCTAGGAAAAAAAAAAAAAAAAACACAAAACACAAAAGGAAAAGAGAAAATTTTACAATACAACAATGCTAGCAATATACAGTTCTTAATTTTTGCAGCTCTCATCTAAAACTTCTACAGAAGATGATTCTGAGTTGGCTGTACGCGGTCTTTTATGTGGCGTTTCATGTTCAAGGATCCCGCCACCATCTTCAGCTTCAAGCTTTGATGAAGCCACATCATCACACGAGGGCGAAACACTCGTTGGAGAGGATGCAAGACGTGGTTCGGAATCTGCACACGAACCTGTCTGGGGAGGAGCAGGAACACTGCAGCCACCTTTCTGTTGCTCCTCCAAGATCTTCTGCAAATACCTCGCGTGTTCCTCAATCCGCACCTGAAGGGCTCTTTGCACCTAAAATGAGATCGGAAGAGATAAGAAGAAGAATCTGGGCTCGGGATATCCATAGGCACTCATATCAGTACTTTTAATAGTACAATGATGCTAAGATACTTCGGCTTTTAACCATCAACTAATCATCAAACATTTACCTCCAGTTGCTCGTGTAGCTGTTTCTGAACTTCCATTTGCATTCGTAGTGCTTCCATGACTTGAATGTTCCTGCATTTAAAAAGCACCTCTTGTACTTCAGGAAGACAATAAGCAAAAGAAGAAGACAAACACTATAATAAAAAGAAACAGAGAGTCACAGAGAGGAAAAGTAAAGTAATTTTACCCTTTCTTCCTTCCTTCACTTCCTTTACCGTTTACAGTTGCTTTCTTATCTTCAGAGCTGGAAGTCTTTTTCTCTAAGGGGGGAATAGCATGAGATATTCAGACAACAAATATTATAAATATGATGACAATAACTCAATGAGCATAACCTTAGCCATGCTAAGGAAGAACATAAAAGATAGCACCCTGCATTTTTTTACCTTCAGTTCTTTCAGGCATATACTTTGCAAGTCTGTATTTCTGCATAAAGCATGTAAACAATCAATTGGCAATATTCATTAACTATAAGCATTCGATAAGGAGGTTAGCCTTAAAAATTACCTGGAGGTGGCTTTTCACATGATAGATAGTCAAACCTTCAACATTCATTAGTTTAAGCACGGCCTTTGGGGTTGCCTCTACATATTTTGATATGGAAAATAAGATCATTCTGATTTTTTTAACACAAACTTACAAAAAAGAGGAAAATTTTGTAACTTAGACAAGCATTAGCACAAAAAACTGTAGCCCAGTTTTTCTACCCAAGAGGATGAATCGAATTCGCTTTAGCAAAGAAATATTACTTACTTTCTGCTCCATCAAGTTTCTTGACAGCCTCCATAAAACTTTCATGAAGCTCAGGCGTCCATCTCATTCGCGGCTTGTGCGAAGCAGCAGGCACAGCAGAAGGCGGAACTGATAGCTTATCGGTAGGCAATGTACAGGATAGGAAATTTTGGCTTGGTGTTGATTCCCTGCTTTGTTGAATTAATGCTTGAGGTTCTTCATATATTTCCTAGGTCCCAAATATTTATAATCAAGCCAAGGACAAAAAGAATTAATCAATAACCACTAAGGTTATAATTGATTATTTAAGCATGGCTTCAAGGGAGCCCTTGATAACTGTAATTCAGCATTGGGAGCTCCACTACTCGGTATTACATAGCATACGGGAAGGAGGCAAACTAAATGAAAGAAATTGAAAATAATGAGCTACAATAAGCAGGTCAAATTACAAACAGAAAAAGATTAATAGACAATAGACCACAGATTGTCAGATTCCCAGCTTAAACCATAAAGCTGATAGCTGAGTAGTTGAACACTAAATTTATTAAATTTGTGTAGAGCATCAAAATAAAATTATAGTTGCATAAAGCATGATTCCAGTAAGGTCAGTGTTTACAGTTTACTAAAAAGTATATACAATTTGCTCATTACTTACATCAATCCGGGGATTCTCGACATCACCACCTATAGCAATGTCAAGTTCATCCGATAGTAACTGTAACTCCATTTGCTCAGTCAGTTGCAAATCATTAATTTCACAGTGGCCGTGTTTAACACTGCCATCTGGCTCATCTAAGAGTATATTCTGTAAAATTTTCAAACTAGCCTCCGAAGGTCCCTCATCACTTTGAACGTGCAATGGAGAGTCTGAAGACTGAATGGTGAAGTTGTTTGGCAGTCTGTGAGGTGAAGGATCTGGAAGAAACGGCAGACTCCCTAGCCGCAAGGTAGTTTCTAAACTAGATGAAGATGACAAGTGCAAACTAGTACAGAACATGGAAGAGCGAGAAAATTGGTTCTGAGGTTGCTGAACATGAGAAGCGGAAGAAAAGGAACTACATTGATTGGGAGTTGGAGAAACTATCGGCGATTTTTCTGTACATTTATGCAAAAAATCAGATGACAAGTTATGAGGCACTGAGCCTGACGAGCAATCATCTGCCAGCAAGTGTTGTTCCCCAGATGATACATTATGAATATCAGATACAGTAGTACAATAAGATTCAGAGACTTCATCTTCCAGTTCAGGGTGCCTCCCAGGTAGAAACATGTAATTCTTCATCACAATAAATGCATCAAGAATGTCCTAACCACTCAGATTGATATCCACACTGGTAATAAAGTAAGTTTAGTGTAATCGCCACTACCCAACAGCATAGACACACCAATTGTGAGATATCAACTGCCACAAAGAGGGCTACATCCTTTATCACCCTGAATGATACAATATATGAAATCAACAGATCTCATAACCAGCTTTGAAGCAGCAACCATCACCTGCCATGGCAGAAGATAAAATAAAGTGTAATCAACCTGAAATTCAAAGATCTAATTCTAACCCTAGCCCATTTTCACTGTGCCGATGACCCGGACACCTATGCACAACCTACAGGGTTTAATTATGGTGCCTCTATTTAGAGCAAAGGACACACAGCTCGGTGAATTCTGGCATTCTTATTAGCACTATACATAAACTAACTTGATTCATCTCAAGATCTCTGTAACCTTTCTTTCACCGCTGATTTCCAGATTTATTTCCTTCCTAATTACCTGAAATGTGTATCATTTTGATTACAGTTTCTGTTTCAAAGACTTAAAACTTTAATTCACCAGACACTTCCAAGAGCGAGGCCGTACCTGGGAGACGGAGAAAATTCGCCCCGACGGCAAGATTCAGAAGCGAACCACCCTTCAAGTTTCAGTACCGACCCCATCGTCGCCGGCGAAGAATTAAAAGTTTTATGCGCTATGTAACTGAGAAGTAGGAGTGGTGGTGACGTATGGATTGCAGAGGAGCAGGAGTGGAGTCACCGCGTCACATAGATGGCCATTGCAATGCTGCAAGAGCTCTCGTCACTCTCAATTCCTACCATATTACCAGCAAAAAATGTGTAGTTGGGAGGCTTGGAGGTGAGAAAATTTAACGGTTGGTATATCCGTATCTGGCATATTGGTGATACCACTATCAGTCTATTATCTTCTTTTTCCTATTTTTGTCCTAAACTCTCAAATCATTACCCCTGCCCAACATGGCAACATCACTGCATCAAAGTAAGCAATATATCATTTAACTATGTGCATGAATTTTGTTGGATGTAGTTACACTTATAACATTAGCAAATTGTTGAAAAGTGTTTAATAAATTAGTTGTTCGCTATATGTAAAATAACTTTCTTAAAAAGTTGATCCAAAAAATATTTTGAGCAGTTGTTTGGATTTTAGCATTTTGGAGCAATAAGTTACAAAAAATTAATTAATCAAATACTCATATTGATTGTTTAACTAAGTCAAATATATCAAGTGGCTTGTGGTCCACTGGTATCGGATTGCTCTCTATGTGGGAGGTCTAGGTTTCAAGCCTCGTTGTAGGCGTAGTTGTATGGGTATCCCCTTCCTTTGAAACTAAAAAACTAAGTCACATAGTACCAAGTTGCTTCTTATATGGGAGGTTGTGGGGTCGAGGGACGATATTGACTCTTATACACCTAGAGACTAGACTAGACTAAACTGGACACTAAAATTGTAGTGAAGTACACTAGGAGAATAGACTAAATTAATAATTCATTTATGGCAATAGTGGCAACCAAATGAAGCATTAATCAAGCCAATCAATTGGGTTTTGTGTTGCAAAAATTATGTTTAGGTACTATCTAGTGAGAGTGTTTCTCCCTAAAATTGTTATTGAACCAATTAATTTTAATGAAAAATTATGCCACAGGTCGTAGTTATACATTATTGAAATATTTATTTTTATGAAAAAATTGATAATTTTGTATTGACATACGCCATGATACCGAATGATAATTTGATATATTCTAAAACACGCATTTAAAAATACATATTGAGTATTGAACTATTCGTACAATGCGCGTGTGATAACTAGTAAAAATAATATGAACAATTAATATCAACAAACAATTAGATCAACATTTTTTAGTTCCCGTTACAGACATAACTTTATTACCTTTTATTAAATTAGTATATACATTGAGTTAATACCCAAAATCGTCATCGACTATAGTGGCTTTTTTCAATTTCGTCCTAAACGATTTTGGTGACCTAATATCATCCCAGACTTTTGTGTTTCGCTCAATTTAGTCCCAAATTTTTGTGTTTTTGCTCAATTTAGTCCCTCATTTGTTATTTTGCCCATTTGGTGTTAAATAAATAGACAATTCAGTAATTTTAATATTGGCATCTCTTTACTCATAGACATGTGAACTGTGAAATCCCTTTTTTTTTTTTACGAATTACTCCCAGAATTACTCCTAAAACTGCAAATATAAAATTTGATTTGCAGGTCCGGGAGTATTTCTGGGTGTAATTCGTACAAGAAAGAGGAATTTCGCACTTCAAAAGTTGAAAGTAAAGAGAGATCAATATTGACATTACTGAATTGTCCCTTTATTTAACACCAATTTGACGAAATAACAAATGGATGACTAAATTGAGCGGAACACAAAAGTTTGAGACGATATTAGGTCACCAAAGTCGATTAGGACGAAATTGAGAAAAACCACTACAATCGAGGACGATTTTGGGTATTAACTCTATATACATTAGTATATATAATATGTATAACAAACTTGACCGTTGTAAAAAACCAAAAAAAAAAAAAAAAAGAAAAAAACAAACAAACAAACTTACTTGACCAAAAATATATTAACAAAAAACAGTTATTCAATTTATAACTTCTGATACAAAAATAATTATATTCACTTATTATAATTGCTATAGTATATTTAATTTTAAAGTTCTACTACATATTTTTTATATTTTTACTCCTTAATTTCTAATTCCTAATATGACAACCGTCAATTCCTTTGGGTTTCATTCGTACGAGCATACTCCCCAGGTGGGATACTTAACGCGTTAGCTGCAGCACTGCACAGGTCGATATGCACAGCGCCTAGTTGGACAGGTACATTACGTACAATCAATTATAACTACACATATACAAAACTTTAAGGCGATTTACAACAATTCTTTCTTCATTGCAAGGAGCGAATGACTCATCTCCTTTCCTAACCTCCTTTCGTCCTTTCAACCTAATTCGAAACGAGCGAGTTCGGATTTTTCCCATCGCCATGGCCCAAATGAAAGTCAAAAGACTTCTAGTTCATAGTTCAATTGGACATGTAGGTTATATTCGTACTGGTTTCAATTCTTCCCCTCGTTCCTTTCTATTGTGCCGGTACACGAGTTGGATCCATTAGATTCTTTGATTTATTCAGAAAAGAAACGAGAGACTCGAAGCGCCTCGCTATGAGAATATAGCTTTGCGGATCAAGAAAACGGATGCGCAAATGTTATAAGGTGAGTAAAAGTAAAAAATAGAGAAAATGGTCAAATAAGCCCATAAACTTTACCTCAAAGGTCAATTAGGGCCCTAAACTTTTAAAAAGTGCAATTAAACCCTTAAACATGTCAAATTGAGTCAATGAAACCAAAAAACCGGTAAATACATGTCATTTCAATTCTGTGCGACCGACGACGACAAAATCCGACCACCGTCGTCAGATTCCGGTCGTCTGGACGACGACCAGACGGCCTGTTGCCGAAATTGAAATAACCTGTAATAATATATTATTTATCAGTTTTTGGACTTCATTGACTCAATTTAACATGTTTAAAGGTATAATTACACTTTTTTAAATTTTAGAAACTTAATTGACATTTGGATAAAATTTAGGAGCCTATTTAACTATTTTCTCTTAAAAATATAATTTGAGTATAGGAGTATTTTCCTTGATTTTATCCGTCACCGTTTTAACTTTTAACCGCTTAAATTCCAGGGCTCTCGAGAAGGGTACATTTAATTTGGACCGATGCTAGTGGGCTGCGGACATTGGCGGGACCAAAACTCAAAAATAGCATACGTTCTTTTATTACCGCCTCTGAATTTCCTGAAAACCCTAAAAATCTGACACAGATGTTCCATGGTTTTTCACTTTTTTTGTTTCCATAAAAATTCAAACTAAATAGAAAAAGAGAAGCCCCACTCCTTCCGCCAGTCCCCGCCGTTTGTCTGAACCCAACGACCGGAAAAGGCAAAGGACAGCCTCACTCACTGGGCGGCGGCGGCGGCGGAGGAGGAACCAAAGCAAATATCTAGGGAGCAGTTCCTTTACTCATTTGTTAATTATTGTTATTCTTCGGTTTCCTTTATTTTTCCCGAACGGCCGCGAGAATCCGAACTGGATGATCCAAAAATGTCCCATGGCGCGTCTTTTTCTTTGTCTGATTCTCACTATGTTGCCTTCATTTGTTTAAAGGTATGGAGAAAAATGAAGCCGTATCTCTGAAATGCGCGCTGGGTGCTGCATACTTACTTTTTTTTTTTTTTGTTGATTCAGAGTTTCTGAAGCTTGCAACTGAATCTGCGAGTGAGTCATGGCTGTTCAATCGGAATCGCAGAAGAAGAACTTGGTTAGCTTTCTGCCTCTGGTTGGAGAGGCTTACAGTTCAGTTGGAATTGAGCCGCCAAAGGATATTTCTCAGCACCGTCTTCTTCAATTCAACAATGGCAAGAACAAAGAGCATCTTCTTGTGTTCCCTGACGTTGGTCGAGCCTTTCAGGTTCATCTCTCCTGAATCTTCTATATTTTCAGATGTTCTTACATTTTCAAACATTCATCCGTTATAACCTATAGCTTGTTTCGTTGCTTCTGCGTTTTGGAAAACAAAAATTGAAGTTTTTGGTCCAGTCTTCGTTTCCAGATTGCATTTCTTTTATCTTCCAGGATTAGTTTAGGGGTCTCCTCTTTTAACAGAATTGTTTGTGTGATTATTATTTAGGCGCCAAATTGCACCAAAAAGGGGATTTGTTTGTAAAATCTTTACTGAGTGCATTCGTTTGCTTCAGGATTTCATTAATAGCAGAGAGGTTCGTGAGTTTCTCAGTGGTGCTTTGGCAGGGGCTATGACTAAAGCTGTTCTTGCTCCTCTTGAAACCATCAGGTTTGCTCAGCTTTCATCTTCTCTTGTTACTCTTCAAACCCTCTAGTATCTTAAACATCTTGGCTGCTAGATTCTAACCAATCTTAAATTCAATTCACTCTTCCCCATTTCATTTTGTTTGAAGATTTGGTAAATAAGCAATGTAGCTTTTAAATGGTATTCAAATTTGAGACATTTTCATAAAAAAGTTGAGGGACATGATCGTAGCCAGCAGAGGTTGGAATCTGGACATGTAGCTATTCCTTATTCTGGATACTCAAATTGCTAATTTGTTTACTACTAGTTTTTTTAGGAAATGCATTTTTGAATTTTGTTTTTTTAAATGAGTGTATTATAAAGTTTTTGTAAGTTTCTTGGATGAAACATTTCTTACATGCGGAAACGCTCACTTTAAGAGTTTTTGTGCAACACTTATTTATTCTAAGAGAAAGTGATCCATTGTATGAAAGCACTTTCCTCATGTGGAAAATTAAATTTGCAGGACAAGGATGGTGGTTGGCATTGGATCCAAAAGCATTGGTCAGAGTTTCATCCAAGTCGTTGAGCAGCAGGGTTGGCGAGGACTATGGGCTGGTAACATGGTTAACATGGTGCGTATAGTTCCTACGCAGGCAATTGAGCTTGGAACATTTGAGTGGGTTAAGCGAGCAATGACTGCATCACAAGAGAAATGGAAAGAGACTGGCGGGCCAAAGCTTGAAATTGGTCATATTAGCATCGACTTTTCTCTCAACTGGATCTCTCCAGTTGCCGTGGCTGGTGCAGCAGCTGGTGTTGTGAGCACACTTGCATGCCATCCACTTGAAGTTTTAAAGGTATTTTTGCTAAGCAACTCATGTTTTGCAGAGAGAAGTGTATATATTGTATATATTTCTGTATTGCATTAAGCATCGGTCTAATTAATTGTGCACTTCACAGGATCGCTTGACTATAAGTCCTGAAATATACCCCAATCTAAGCATTGCAGTAAACAAAATCTACAAGGATGGAGGGATTGGTGCGTTGTATGCTGGCCTTGCACCGACATTGGTTGGCATGCTCCCATACAGCACATGCTACTATTTCATGTACGAGACTGTGAAGAAATCATATTGTCAGGCGAAGAATAAACAATCTTTAAACCGTGCTGAGATGCTTATAATTGGAGCACTTTCTGGTACGATTCTTGAGTTCAATTCTGCTAATTCATGTTAAGTTCCATTTTGACAAGAACATATCTTTCCTCGAGCAGGCTTAACTGCCAGCACTATTAGTTACCCATTGGAGGTGGCGAGGAAGCGTTTAATGGTTGGTGCCTTGCAAGGCAAGTGCCCACCCCACATGGCAGCTGCACTATCAGAAATCGTCAGGGAGCAAGGAGTGAAGGGACTTTACCGAGGTTGGGGAGCAAGTTGTTTAAAAGTGATGCCTTCTTCAGGCATCACCTGGATGTTCTATGAAGCTTGGAAAGATATATTGCTCAGGGAACAACGTCGTGTGTGACCGACCATCCCTGTTTGGAAACAGATTGGACAGAATACATCAGTCATTATAGCATGATTCGGAACTATAGACTCACCCCCTTGCTAGAAGAAGCAAGTATTCCAGAGCTGTTGTTCAATTCATTATGACCATTTTGACTTGGGTGCCATTTTATTTAGCACCAGTACAATTTTTGTTTCTTCTCTTGTTTAACTCCATAACTCCAAAACAAGAGGCATTTCTTTGATTTTGCAATTTGCATTATCAATTCAGTAAGATTTTCTGGCACATAGGATTTATACAAGGAACTATTCTGCATTGAAACCAGGGGTATGATTGGACCTCCAAATAAAATGTAGCTATAATCCTCAAATAATACAGAACCTAAGCAGCCTTTGAGAGAGTAGAAGTCTAAACAAAAATAACACTATAGATTTTGTAAACTCCTCACAATGCTACACACAGGGCTAATGTATGCTACGTACAGAGAAATGCATGAATCACACAGCAATCAACAGAACAGAAGGGGGTATGAGACAAACTTGGATTACACGCTGTTAGCTAACTACTATGAATTATCCTGGACTGTTGAGCAGTCTCTTGTCTGATAAATGCGGGAGGCGCATGAACTGATCAATTGCGAGTTCTCTGCAAGCAAGTAAAGACAAAACAAGCACAGACCTGCACCAAGAAAAGTGAAACAACAAAATACCTGAGTGAAACGAAACAAATATGTTGGACAAAGGCTACGTGGTTCATTGCCTGAATTTAATGACACAACATAATGCCCATTGAAGAACCAATAATAGATATCCATCGTTTCCACTTTTAAAAATTGTTGAAGGAATCAGCAGATGCGATAAACAGTTAATTATAAAGTTGTTACAGAATGAAGGCATAAATGAAAAAATGCATTAGAAGCAATACTTGTCTATAGGTATTACAATAGATATTATGACCAAAAGGAAAAACAATATATGTGATAACATACCAGCATAGGCAAGGGTAATTCCTGGGACCATCCTCCCCAAAACAGATAGCATGTAAAGTGCAGCAACAACCTGGTAGAAATAAAAAAACTCGTCACTAGAACCTCAATCTAGTTAGCAATATAGATACTGCACCAAAGTTTTAATGAAAACAACACTAAAGTTTGAATAATCTTGACTTATGCATCTCCTGTCACAAAATTAAGAAGAATAAGAAAATACTGCAGATTGATCATAGCACATTTAGTCTCAAACACTAAATCTAAGATTGTATACCTTTTTGTACTGCATAAATATTAGAGAAGGGACAGACACCTGTATGAATTAACACTTCTTCACTATTGTATTTGCCAGACCAAAAGGAAAGGGCTAGCTAATGTTTTGCTTACTGAAATGGTCCCCCTTTCATTTCTCTCCAATTCATTAATGAACAACACAAATGCTATGATGGATGACCAACGAGGCTATGACACCTTTTAAAGCAATGAATGATTATTGCAAGAATATGATGAAACAAAACCGTAATGATAGTTTGATACCATTGGATAGATTCATACAAATTAAGACATTGAGTATGGTTTTAATTATGATCACAAAAACATTGAAGCCAATAATGGCAGGACGAAGAGTAGGAACCGACCTTGAAGAATAACCTCTTATCATGGCCAGTAGCAGCAACGCGGAGAACGGACTCAGCAGCGCCAACGGTATTGGCCAAGCAGGCAAATGCGGTATTGGCCGTATCCTGACATATCTGCCATTCTAGCGGATCAACCGGAACACTGTGGTTTGATTAATTAACAAATTAATTAAGCATCAAAGATTCAAAGTCCAGAAAATGATAGATTCCTGTACGACAATATGTTCACACAATTCACATTGCAGAGACGGATCGACATATAAATCGAGAAAGTAGCATTGAATTAGAAACATACGGGATGTTCATCTGCCGGAAAAGGAGGCCGAGGATGGCGAGGGAGCAGAGTAGGACGATAAAGACGTCGGAGACGAGAGAGACAAAGCTTGATTTCTGATAGGCGCAATGGTAGTACACCAGACTCCCGCAAATCATCACTATAACCGGCTTCCCTATTCCGCCGCCGCTGAAGCCTAATCTTACTCTCTTCCTCGCCTCCGCCGTCTCCGCACTGCTATTACTATTACCGTTCCTTCCGTTGCCGCCAGCAGTAACCGCCGTCGCGCCGGTAGAATTGCCGTCACCGTTGTCTTCCATCGATGCCGGCGTCGTTCGTTAACAAATCAACAATAGAAAGATCAACTCATCATCACTTTACACTTCGCAATCGGTGCAATCTTCACAACTCATCCTTAGAAGTTAGAATTGCAGACTTTAGGAAATTTCTCTCCTTCAGTTTCCTCATTTATTTAATATTA